GGCCTTGTCAGGTGTGGAGGCTTAAACACGTTTCAGACTGTTTTTTAGGTGCAGGAGAGCAGTGCCGCAAAGAGTAGCTTCGAGAACATTCTAGACAGGGAGACATGTAGAGGGCCAGGGCTCTTGGCCACAATGTAAAGGAAGCAAGTAGTCATAGTTGAGCCTTAATCCGTTTATTTGCTCTTACAGAAGTTAATTACAGTCGACCCTTGAGGAATGTGGGGCTTGGGGTACCAGCCCTGCTGCACAGTCAAAAATTTGCACATAACTTTTGACTCCCCCTAAACCTAACTACCGAGAGCCTGCCGCTGGCTGGGAGCCTTACCAGGAACAGGAGCGCTCGGTTAACGTGTTGTGTGTTATATGCCTCCTGTGCGGGGTTCTTGCAGTAAAGCTAGAGAAGAGATGGGAAGAAAACCTAAGGGGAAACACACTGCTGGATCCAGAGAAGCGCCACTTGGACGTGCACCTGTGCGGTTCACAGCCCTGCTTCTCAGGGCCAACTGTTAATTCGTTGTGTGTTAAGGTATCATAGTGGGGTGTTTGGAGTAAGAACAGTTACTAAAAAGTAAGTCATCTTTTGTGCTGTTTCCTTAAATTTAGAATTTGTATGTAATAAATAATGTGAATTTTCTTTGATTAATGTGTTCTTTGGTTATAGGAAATTCATTTAGCTCTGTTGGTAGAAATAGAATTTAATAGCAATCCTGGGATTATAGGGCAGATTATGGCTTACTGTAATTGTCTTCTTGAAATTACTACATGATAAGTAATCATGAAAGCTTAATTTCAGCTACATTTATAGATAAAACTCAGACTTGGAAAGAATTTCCTTCTGTTTTTATTTTTTCCTCCAAATTTTTATTTCAGTTCCAGTTAGTTAACATCCAGTGTATCGCTGGTTTCAGAAGTCAGCGATTCATCGCTTACATGCAACACCCAGTGCTCATCACAAGTGCTCTCTTCAATGCCCAGCCCCCCGCTAGCCCACCACCCACCTGCCTCCGCCTCCGTCAACCCTGTTTGTTCTGTCTTTACGGGTCTTGTGGTTTGCTTCTCTTTTTTACCCCTTCCCGTGTTCATGCTTTGTTTCTTAAACTCCACGTGAGTGAGATCATATGGTACTTGTCCTTCTCTTACCGACTTCACGCAGCATAGTACGCTCTAGCTCCAGACCACAGCGTTGCAAATGGCAAGATTTCATTGTTTTCTTTGCCGCCGAGTAATAGTCCATTGTATATATATGCCACATCTTCTAGAAAGAATTATTGGAGTAACCAGTTTTTTCACAGGAGGTTTTTTTTTTTTAATATCTTGGGTTCTTTAAGGGAATTCAGTATTAAATATTAAATTTAGGACCGCTATGCAAGATATATTCTTATATACTGTGCTACATATTATGTAGTATGTGGGTTTAGCTATATTGTACTTAAATTTATATTGATAGAATTCCTACAGAATGACAAGATTAGCAGATTGCTATAGGTCAGTGTACAGATTTATAAATATGCTTTTATGTTTTTGTTTTTTGTTTTATGTTTTAGTTTCATCTCTAGTGCTTGAAGTTGTTATATTAATTGCATGTAATTCCAGTAAGTTCCGTATCCAAAAAAAACCCTTAAAAGTTTTTTTTTTTTAAATATTTTATTTATTTGACAGAGAGAGATCACAAGTGGGCAGAGAGGCAGGCAGAGAGAGAGAGAGAGGGAAGCAGGCTCCCTGCTGAGCAGAGAGCCCGATGCGGGACTCGATCCCAGGACCCTGAGATCATGACCTGAGACGAAGGCAGCGGCTTAACCCACTGAGCCACCCAGGCGCCCTTAAAAATGCTTATTAACCACATGCCCCTGCCCCTCACCAAAGTAAAGTTAGAGTACCTCCAGATGCTTACCTTTGAGCAACGTTACTTCCCTATACAAGAGAAAGTTTGGAGAAAATGTTTCCTTTTCAGTTTTTATTCTGTTACGCTGATTTTATATAAAATATTGTTCTCAACTCACAACTGTAAAAGTCGGTCCTGCTTGGATTAGACTTGGCAAAAAATGTTTATCATCATCCAAGTTTAGCTAAATAGTGTTGCCAAATAATAGCCAGGACCTTACTAACCCTAACCCACAGACCACTTTTCAGACCATACTTTCTCCCCAGTCTGTGTGCCTTTTCTGCCGTATTTTGATTCTTACATTTGATCCTATTTTCTCTTTTAAATCCTGAATTTCTTTTTTTTCCCCCCCACTTTTTGGCTCCATTCCTTCTGCATCTTTTCTTTCTCCCACCACACTGCAGACTTGGAATCCAGAGTTGAATTCAGTCACAGGGAGCCTTACCAGCCAGTATCATGGTTTTTGCCCTTGGTTATCAACTATGCCTACAAACGACTGATTAGTAATCGCGTTAATTGGGAATCTGTATAAACTTAAATTGTGGACATCTCCACCGAGGTCACTAGCTTCCAGCTGGTTGGCCACTTTCCCCAGTAGTTCATTTTTTTAATCTCTGATAAAGAACAGATTTTGGTAATTAACATCTGTACTGTAGTTGACCATTTTGGGGTATGCATGACCCTGAAAACTAATTGATTGGCAGTTATCTGTCAATTATAAATTAACTCCAGGGGGCACCTGGGTGGTTCAATGGGTTAGGCCTCTGCCTTCGGCTCAGGTCATGATCTCAGGGTCCTGGGATCGAGCCCCATGTCATCGGGCTCTCTGCTCAGCAGGGAGCCTGCTTCCCTCTCTCTCTGGCTGCCTCTCTGCCTGCTTGTGATCTCTCTCTGTCAAATCAATAAATAAAAATCTTTATTAAAAAAAAAAAGTTATTAACTCCAGGATCAGAGGGTGATTTTGCTTCTGTCCTCGCTCATGGCCACCATCACCATTAGGCCCCCTAGAAACCCAAGTTAACACTCGCCTGTTAACACTGTGCCTTGGAGATACTTAGCCTCAGTTGGGTCCTCTACCCAGAAGGGGAAGAATCCAGCACTGAAACTTCTACTGAAAACCTGGTGTCTTTTTTTGGTAAGTTAGCTGACTTTAGTGAAGCTGAAGAGAAATACTAAATCTTCACTCTAAGTATCAGGGAAGAAATTACATCTTTCCAATCGTAATTAATATGAAAGTTTTTAAGTACCTAAAGGTTTAAAAGTCTAATTCTGCAAGCATTTCTCTTAACAGATGAATACCTACTACCCGTACTACTACTTAGTCAGTGCAGCATGTCCAAGACAGTCCGCATTGGCTTAGAAGTTACCCTCGCTAGTTAGGTCACTAAGAGCAGTGTAGACGTTGTCTAATTTTTAGAGAAATGCAGTATCTTCCCAACAGAGAGTTTTTAGAAAATGTCTTGCTAATTGCTATTTCCATTTTCAATCATTTTTCCCCAGAAACCCACAATCTGCCAAAGCAACCTCCACTTGCCCTAGCAATGGGACAGGCCACACAGTGTCTAGGACTGATGGCTCGATCAGGAATCGGATCCTGTGCGTTTGCCGCAGTGGAAGACTGCCTGCATTAGCCGTGCATTTCGGGAGCGCGCACGCGTACTGTGGCATATAGTCAACATGGAAGTAGACCAGCTCTGCTGATTTGAAATTTAGATTTTTTTAATTATGTACTGGGGACAGGTTTTTGTCGCTTTACATTGCTTCCTAGTTTACAGCATGATGCAAATGATTTTCTAACTTGGTGTTAGGAGAAATTATTTTCCATCTTTAACCTCTTAGTTGTCTAAGAGTTAAATATTACTGAATTTCAGACCTTCAAATTGATCATCACAAATCCTTTAAAACAATTTTCTAAAAGAAACCAAAAAATCCTGCCACCTTTGTTTGGGGGAGAGGGGGGAAGGAAAACGGAACAAGTTGTGTTTGTGTTAGCATGTGGGTGATGTAAACTTCAAATCGGGAGATGCTCCGACCCCCACTCCCATATAAGCATTCAATCAGTGTAACTTGCAAAACGCATAAACATCCGACAGTTTGAATTTATAGTGTTGATGGAAGAAATCATTTTTAATGTGTACTGTAAAACTTGAAATACTCAGGAGCTGAGTGAATATGTTTGTTGCTACTTACAATCCCGACCTGTTAGTCCCAGTAGTTTTGTTTTAACATGGTCTTTTTCAACTTTGTTTCCTGTTTAACTACAGACGACTTCTGTTGTAGACTCACAGTTTAACTGTTGTATTATAACAGTATTACATGTCAACAGTGTGGTTATGACCTTTATTTATATAAAAACCAAATATTTAGTCAATTTACCGTGTCTTAATTTAATCTTTGTACACCTTCCATTTTTAAGTGCTTAAATGAGTACTATATTGCAATAAAAATGTAGTGATATAATTAACCAGCCATTAAAAATTTACTATTACAGATACTAGAGTGTCAGTTGAGTCTATGTATCAGGTACCTGCATATTCCGATTAATAGAAAATTAGAGCAATTAAAATGAATGGTTTATACTATAAATCTGAGTTCTACAACCCAAGACTGCCTTCAGAGCATCAGCCTCCGGATCAGTCAAACCTGGTAGTGGGGTGCCGCGGACAACAGGAAATCTGTTTCTGTACAAACTACGGTGTGGCGCACGTGGCTCGTCCGTAAAGTGACCAAGATAACCATATCCCTTGGCCGGCTATGAACTTTGTGTGCACAGACGCCTGAATAAGGATGCTTAGATACTGCAGTCTCTGAGTGACTTCTTTCCTTTTCTGCGTTCTATGAAACAAATTCTCACCGAAACACCTGCAAGGCGAGGACATCGGAGAGCTGCAGCTGGGAACCCCTAGCCGTCCATGCCTCCTCTCGCCCTGCCGCTCCTGCTGCGCGCCCGGCACCGCAGGGAAGACCTGCTTTCAGTTAAATGCATAAACACTCATAAAAAGGAAAACAATTCCTTTGAAGTTGCTTTTCCTTCCAGTGTAATCCGCAAAGACAACAAGGCTCCAGAAGGATGAAGTGCGGTGGTGGGGCTTCCCCCACAGATCTAGGATTTTTGCAATGACCTTTCAAAACGATTTATAAATGATTTATTAGATTTTCAGAAAAACTAATTCTCTAAACCACATAACTAAAACTATACATACAAGTACATACAAGTTCTCATTCTTCATTTAGCTTTACTTCTTAGAAGTTTTCATTTTCCTGGCCATCCACCGTCTTTTAAACCTCTTTGCATTTTGTTTTTTCTGGGTTCCTGAAACAGAAAATTTTGTGCAGTAAGAATATTAGATATAAAATTCCCAAGAAATAATTCCAAAGTTTAAAATTCTATGAATACTAAAATTACACTTATTAAATCAGATTGTATAGATGTACGTACATGCTGATCTATTTTTCAAAAGAAAGCAACTTTAACATACTAATACAGAAGCCATTATAAGGAAAACACTGATGTTTTGTGCTTGTTTACGGTCTCCTTTAAAAAGAACATTTTTCAATATATAAAAGAAGAAAACTGGATCTTACCCCAAGCATTATTCAGAAACTGAGCTGCAGCCTTTTTCACTGGTAACCTCTTATTTTCAAGAGACAGGAACTTATTTACTAGAAAAGATAATTATTTCTCATTTCTTTGTTTAATTTGCAGTAAAAAGTGAGAGAAACAGTCTCTGAAGAACTTACTAGTAGTTCTGTTGGTTCCTGGACCATACAAAGAATTCTGTATGAAGGCCTTGGCCGCTTGCTGCCGCACGTCTCTTAGATCTTGATCTTTGAGCCTTAGAGCCACGTAGCTTTTATTCTGGCTGGTGACCAACACAAAAGGTCAAAATGAGCAAGTCTGAAAACGTGTTTACTTTGAAAATTAAAAGCATTTTTGTTAGGTATTTCAAAAAGTGAAAGAACCAAAATCCTACTTTTGTATATGCACAGATGATGAAGAAAACGAAATCACAGAACTATTTTATTTTACTAGAAGTGGACTAACAATTATGTCTCAGTAAACTGATATTCTTATGTAAGTATCAGAATTGGTTTTCCCACAGTCTGGTCACCTTTACATTCTAGGTGAAAAGAAAGACGACTCTTACCCAACAGACTGTACTTTTTGTACTTTCTCTTTAGCGTTCTTAGAGTCACTGCCTTTTTCATATTCTTCCTTTTTCTTCTGCAAATTTGCTAACAAAAAAAAATTGAGTTTTATTTCAAGTTAGTAATTAGGTAAAAGTAAAGCAGAAACATTTACTGGAGTTCACTTTAAACATCCACTCATACCAATTTCAACGCAATTCTTATTTGTAAGAAACAGAACAGGTCCAAGCTACACGCTCTCTTAGGGCCAGGAACATTTGGCTGCAAATATCTACAAATGCACTTGACACTTATATGAGAAGTTATTTAAGTCAGAACAGTTCATACCTTCTTTCAGCTTTCCTGATGGTTTCTTTATGCTAAGGAAGAATAATGAAAACACGGATTGATATGGCAGATAGCAAAGACTACTCCACTTACTACACAATTCCATCTGGCTTTACAAATAAGATATCCCCCTTTCATTACCACCAACCTCAGTTTTTACTCAGGATCATTTTTGGAAAGCAGAAGTCCCTCCTGCTGCACTGCTACCAGTCCCCAAACCAGCATATACTCGGAGGGACTACTTCTTAGAATTTAAGTTGTGAAAGCATATTAGCAAACTTCGACAGAAGCAGACTGCTGTAGTTAACAGTTAAGGACTTAAGAAAAAAGTGAGTTATGTAACAGTAACTCAGAATACGAAGTGAAAGGTGGTAGGACGGCATCCTTTTATCTGGAGAAATCACAAAGGATTAAATCAGCAGTTCAGGCACAAACACAGGGATGGAGACAAGGACTAGCCTCAAGGAGTACTGGTTGGAGAGACTTAAATGTAAGCTGACAAAATACAACAGGGAGATTCCCATATAGAAGCACTTGCACAGTAGAAGGGCTACACAGAGGAGGAAGTGATGGGGTCAGGGGAGTAGGAGAAGGAAGAGGTGACATTTGAGCCTGGTTTCTAGACAGGGAAGGGGATATGCCACCAAATGCATCTGAATGTATTCAGGATCTGAATAACTTTGGAAAAGTTCTTTTGCTGAAAATTTAAGAACCAGTGGCCTAGATAAAAAATACGGGACCAAACTTCTGAAATGAAGGCAGTTAGGGGGACCCTGGGTGACTCAGTTAAGTGTCTGCCTTTGGCTCAGGTCATGATCCCAGGTTCTAGGATTGAACCCCACACCAGGCTCCTAGCTCAGTGGGGAGCCTGCTTCTCCTCTGCATGCCGCTCCCTGCTTATGTTCTTTCTCTGACAAAAATCTTTATTAAGAGGGCGCCTGGGTGGCTCAGTTGTTAAGCATCTGCCTTCAGCTCAGGTCATGATCTCAGGGTCCTGGGACTGAGCCCCACATCAGGCTCCCTGCTCGGCAGGAAGCCTGTTTCTCCCTCTTCCACTCCCCCTGCTTGTGTTCCCCCTCTCCCTGTGTCTCTGTCAAGTAAATAAAGTCTTTAAAAAAAAAAAAAAAAGACATTAAAAAATCTTTATTAAATAAAGGAGAAGCAAAGGGGGGCATAAAAAATTACCCAATATTCAGAAGTCTATTTAAATATTTGATTTCACGGGACAGATGAGAAAGAGGATGACAGCATTTGCCTTTAACCATTCAAAAGAGGGCAGAGCTGATAAACAAAATGAATGAAGCCATAGCAGCCAAGGCAAGTACGGGACAGGACCTTCGGGAGCCTGTGGAGTGTCTCCTACTCCACTAAATGCTAAGTCCCAAGACATTATTTTATTCCCCACCATCTATCCTGCCCCTAGCACGAGGGCAGCAGCACAAGCATTTATTGACTGAACACCCTGGGATCAGTAACTCAGAAGCCAGAGTTAGCTACAGGAATGAACAAGGAATCAGCAAAAGACTGAAAATTGGGAGTTAATTTCCTCCACCTTTCCCACCAGATTCAAATATCTGCTATGTAGCCTTTTTATTACTTACATTACTTGGATTCAAATAAACGTACCAATTCGTAACTCACAGGTGTCTGTAACAAGATCCATTACTTACTTCGTCGGTCCAGCTGTAGTTAACTTCTCTAGAATGTTATCTGGAAGGAGTTTTCTTTTCTTAGATAAAAACATTAAAACACCAATCAGCAGGGAGGTGCATGACAGTACGCCCCCACTTGCTTCTGAAGTTGCTGATTTTAAGGGCAGCTTTACACCGAGACAGAATGAATGAACTGGGCTGAGCCCTGCCCCGCGATCTCTAAGGGGTGGGACGGCGGGGCGCACGGAGCTCAGCACCTATTCCACATTCTCTGGAAGACCCGGTGAAGCCTGGCAAGGCTGCCCACCGTATGCCACCCCAAAGGACCCAGTTCTGCACTGAGCGCACTTAAGTCCCGTCCCCCTCGAGTCCGTTCTGTGCCGCCCATCTGCCAAACGTCAGAGAGCAAAGCAACCATACTCTGCTGTACAGCCCTCGGTTTACAAAGCACCTCGTAATTCTCACAGCGACCCAATTTCGGATAGAGAAACGACCTCCGCGAGACTAAATGACAAGGCTGTACTGTCCCAGGTGGGAGGAACCCTCCGAACCTCGAATTCACGACCTTCCCATTCCCGTTCTCAAGCGGACAGCAAAGAGCTCCCGCGCCTTCGTTTTCGCCGTTCGGAGGCGCGTTAGCGACCTTCCCCACCCCCAGGCCCCGCAGCTGTGGCGCCACACAGGCGCACTCAACCCCGGCCGGGTGCTTTAAAATGGGGAGACGCCTCCCTACCCTCTAACCTTTTGTTCAATGAACAGCTCCTCGCGGCGCTTCCTCTTCTCCTTCAGGAGCGTTTTGTCCCTGAAAGAGTGACAAGTTAGTGAGGGGCAACATGCGCGGGACGGGGCGGTTCTCCCGACCGGGGGCGGGCTCCGAACCTGCGCACCGACTCCCGAACTCGCCGCTCCTCTTCTCGTGCTTCCGCCCGGGCGCTGGCGAAAGTCAGCTCCTCCGGCGCCTCGTCGTCCAACTCGTCGTCCAACTCGTCGTCCCCTTCCTCATCTTCTTCCTCCAGCGGCTCCGCGGCCGCGCCGCTGCTGGGCTGCCCGAGCAACAGGCCGTGCTCCGTCTCCTCCTCCTCTTCGGAGGGGGGCTGGCCCTCGTCTACCATCGCCGAGGCCGGGATGCGGGACGCGCGCGGCCGGAGCTGCACCATAGTCCGCGCAGCGTCCGACCGTCTGGCCTCTGACCCGGAAGCAACGCGCAAGCGCAGCGTGACGCAAAGTGCAAGCGACGCGACTTGCGTCGCCCCCTGCAGGTGCAGTTGGGGAGACGGCCGCGGGACGGCGGATGCGCATGCGCAGATCCGGAAAGGGCGTGGCGTACGGAACGGACAGTCGAGCAGTTAGGATGTTGTTATCTTCACTCCTCTGGGAGCTTTCTCCTCCCGGGACGCCCTCTGGATTTCTCTCCACTTCAAATAAGCGACTAGAAGTTCCGCGGTGAGAGCAGGACGGAATGAGGCTTGTTTCTAGAAGGGGAGAGCCATCATGAGACCTCCGCGGGGAAGCTGACAGCAGGGTTGCCTGGGTCCCCCCTCCTCCAGTACGGCTGCCACGGGCTTTGGTGTCCAGGAGCCCGGGAACGTGTGGCCACAAGCCCCGGTGACTCTGTCTAACACCGGGATCCACTTGGTCCAAAACTGCCAGTTGCTTTACCAGCAGAAAAAAAATGGGTGTATTCCGGAACAGCAGAGAGTTGCCAGGCAAGCAAGCTGTTGGCAAAACCATCATCAAGTCGCCCAAACTAAGGGCTGCATGATCTTTTTTAGAGGAGAGGGGAAAGTTGGGAGAGGCTGTCATAAAAAGTCCATCGGAGTCAGCTGGGGATTAGAAATACAGTGGCTTCTCTTTGGCTGGCTGTTGCTGGGGCGGGAGGAAGGTCTTCCGCGGAGGTAATGAAGCCTATTCACCTCCCAGGTCCACCGTCTCTTCCTGTTGGATTTGCAATTAAGGACACGTGGGATTTGCTATTAAGGACAAGTGGTAGAGCGTGAGACCTGCCCCTGCCGAACCTCCCAACTCCATTTTAGTAAGATTTCCCTTTATTAACTTCCACATCGGATCCAAGTGATCAGTATTTGTAGATTCAGTTCCATTCACTCCCTGACCCCAAAGACGTGACATCTCCTTCCAAGGGCAGAATTGCGCTGTAGCAACAGGACGTGATGCCCTTCAGTCCTGGCACTGACAGGAACAAGTTGACAGATGCAGGCTTAAGTCAATGGTCAGCACCAGACCTGTGCTTGGCGACCTCAGCCACCATTTCCCAGGCTTCCCTGACCACCTGCCCCTGGAGTGTACACGCCTCCGTCCATCACCGACACCACTCCCCTAACAGCTTATCATCTAACTCTCGCATTAGGATGTACGCTCTGCGAGAACAGGGTCCCGGCCTGGTGCCCTGCTCTAACCCCAGGACCTTGAACAGTGGCTGGTCCAGCGCAAACCCTGAATCTGGTGAAAGAATGACTTCACCACTGCTTTGTGAAAGCAACCCTAGCACTGCTTCTATCCCTCCACTCCCCAGATCTTTGATCTCTCTGGGTTTATCTTCTCCCACTCATACAACACGAAATGACTCATCACTGGCTGAGCAAACCAAGCTGTTGCACACTTGCTAGGCACTGGTACATGCTATTTCCTCTACCGATACTCCTCCACGTGGAACTATTTATACTTCCAAAACTGCCACTGGGGCTGACTTCCTCTTAAAGGCTTTCAAACACCTTAACAATGACCCCATCTCTACTCCACTCATCTCTAATTGCATTCTCCTCTGAATCTTGCACAAATTTCTTTACTGTGGTTACGACTCTGTAAAATAGTTCACAAGACAATTGTCCCAACCATTCTGTGACCTCCTTGAGGGCAAGGTCCATATCTTACTGATCATTTTATTTCTAATGTCTACCATAAGGTAGACATTGAATTAAATGTCACATTTTTGTATTTTCAAATTTTTCATCTTCCCTAACAAAATCAAAACATGAACAAAAATGGCAAAACACAAAACCAAACCAAAACAAAAGCTGCTGCTGGTACCAAAGGCCCAGGATGAGTGGACAGGAGTCGCAAAAAACAGTTATGAAATATCAGGACCGTGGTCAGATGGAAATTACAGAGTAAAAATAAAATCAGACTCACTGAGACAATGTGCCAAATTTAATCATTCCTAACACTAGGAAAATGTATGAATTTCACTTTGAGAAGCCCAACAACAAACCTATTAACAATGAATGATGGCATTTCAGGTAGAAAAACTGCATTATATGAGACCCCCTCTGTGTACATCCTTTGACCCACTCATGCGAAGTGTGAATTGGGCCCTCAGGAGCCCTACGCCTTATAAGTTTTGAACATCTCTCCTTGCCCATGGAAAGAACCTCTGGGATTTATTTAAAGTTATGACTTGTACAGGAATAACTTTTATGTGGGGGCGCCTGCGTGGCTCAGTGGGTTGAGCCTCTGCAGCTCGGGTCATGATCTCAGGGTCCTGGGATCGAGCCCTGCATCAGGCTCTCTGCTCAGCGGGGAGCCTGCTTCCCCCTTTCTCTCTGCCTGCCTCCCTGCCTACTTGTGATCTCTGTCAAATAAATTTTTTAAAATATATTTTTAAAAAAAGTTTTATGTGACCCTGTCTTGCCCATTTCTACAAAAGCCAAGGGTGTAGCATTAAATGTAATTTTGTTGTAAGGGGATGAGGCAATGTGGCCCAGGGGTGTAACCACCCGGGGAGCTGACCTGATCCAAGGGACCTATGCATGTAGGACCTCCCTACATGCATAAGGGCCACTCCTGCTAGTTAGACCACACAGCAGGCATTCCAAGGGTCCTAGGTGGTAAGGCTTGAGCAGAGAGCTGTAATCTTATTACCTGACTCCAAGGTAATATGAGCACAATTTTTTAAAGTGCATAGGGGAAAAAAACCCCAAAAAACCTTCAGAATTCACTGTCTGGGAAAGCTTGGTGGGCCCCCACAGGGACCGTAATGCTTCTGTGTTTATGATATTAAGAAACAGTCAACCGTCAACTCTCCCTTTCCCCCTCGACTGCTAAGGAGGCCAGTACTCAATTTTAGGCAGCTGTGTTTATCCTGGGAGTCCATATATTTGCACCGTTTATTTTTCTCATCCTGATTTTCTATCTTGATGCTACTTTTCTCTTCCTTCCTTGCATGAGTTCTTGTGGTCAGCTATCCCACACACTGTGAGGTAAGGCAGCCAAACACAGTAAACGCTGAAAAGGAAAAGCCCCCAACAAAGACATCTCTTGGGGTAAGATCTTTATACAATAAATGACCTACTATAGAGAGTAATTTTATTTTCCGCCGAAACTTGGCAAAAATCAGAAATACCAAGGTTTTAGCCCTCTTCTTCTCTCTGTGTCTAGATGGCAACAATTCAAGCAGGATAATGACTTTTTTTAAAAAGATAATCTAATTACAAATAATTTTCCCTTTCCAGGACCAACCAAACACCCATGAGATATCTTATGTTTAAGCCCACGCAAAACAAGACGTATTAACTTGACGGTTTGCTGATTTCTAAGAGTGTTTGCTATTGTTGCTTCTAGGCCCCCATCACTTATCATCAGGTGGGATTCCAGCCAGGGAATTGAAGGGTATTCTGAGATCTTCCAGTCTTTAGCTCACCATCCCACGACTGGTTCTCCTCTTGTCTGTGGCCAGGTACTTAGTACTAGGTACTACGATTTTTTCTTTCCGCAGGGCAACTAAGAAACATTTTCAGTTTCATGAGGAGCAAGGGCTTCGGGAAGAGTAGTACCACATGGCCCCTGGAAATGGAACCTGCAACAGGACAGATAAGCAGAGTTAGAAAAATCAACAGACCACTTCAGCAAGCCACACATTTCTGAGTTACACCCAAAGCAAAATCCCAGTTCTCACAAATACAGTATCATCACCTTCGTTCTCCCTTTTTTCATGTAGTTTCAGATAACTCTAGATGTAGACATTTCCTTCCTGGTTGGTCCCAGGGATCGAGGGAATTTGGGAAAGCAACTGCCTGGAATTTAGGTGCTAGAAACAAGAATTTTATTTAAGGGATAGGGGAGACATTTGCTGCAAAGTGCATTTTAGAATGGTATGGCCAACTTCGAAGCGCTAAGTTTTACGAAGTCTATATACTAAGAAAAACGGGATTCTGATGCACTAAGGACACAAGAAAAATAACCACAGGCACCACACAGACCATGAACATCGCAGCTGAGTGAACAGCACACTCAAGCCATCCGTTGGACCTTACGACAACTGCCTTATAGTCAGAAAGTAGAAACAAGCAAAAAGAGCAAAGAGGAGAGAGAAATAAGAAAACTTCATGTCTGCTTCCTTCAAGGGAAAACACAACAGGAAGGAAAAAAAAAACAAAACTCTGAATGCAGGATTTAGAGAATCCTGAAAAAGCAGGATTTTCTAATGTATTCAATTGGTTTCAGTTGAGCACAGTTAAAAATGAAAAAGCTTATGCTCAAGGTAATTCAATATTCATATTGTTTATTCCTTTGAGGGAGAGTGAGAGAGAGAGCATGAGAGGGGAGAAGGTCAGAGGGAGAAGCAGACTCCCTGCTGAGCAGGGAGCCCGATGCAGGACTCGATCCCGGAACTCCAGGATCATGGCCTGAGCCGAAGGCAGACGCTCAACCAACCAAGCCACCCAGGTGCCCCATATTGTTTATTCTTGACACAACCCAGATCATGAATGCCTGAGCCCTCAAATACTACTCTCTCTGAATAGAGTGTGGCTAATGGACATCCCCAACCAGATGTCATCTCCACTCCTCCTGCCACCAGGAAGCTCCCCAGGTGCAGTTACAGCCCCTTGAGGACTTCCCCAAAATTACAGCCAGTCACAGAGAACTTCCCGGGAATTCCCATAGCCTCAACTTGCACATGTTCTCCTTCCTGAGAAAGTGACTTTTGAGTGTTCCCTCCCACATCCATCCTTCTCCTACTTTGCAAGAGCAAGCTGGTTCCCCTCCAACCCCCGAATCTTACCCTGTTGCCTTATCACAGAGTATGAAAACATAGGCGGGGCCAGATAAAGGGACATTTGAAATGCTGGTTTGTATCTCGGGCAGCAAATGCTTTCTCGAGATTGGGTGACAAGGCAAGGAAGGGCCAGCCCATTCTTGCTTTCAATAAAACCCTTTGAAAGAGGGTCTGTTCTGATAGGACTGTCAATGAAAAGATGGCTAAATGCGATACAAAATTCCAGTGTGTATTTTAGCATATAACTCCAGAATAGGTCCAAAATCTGAGTGGCAATGCCATAACAAAATTCCTTTCATTCCCGGGGAGTTATGTGGCTCATGTTCTCAGGACCTACATCTATAAAAAGTAAAAGCTAAGAATTACAATTGACATTGGAAAGGTGATACTTAGCTTGGCCAGGAAAAATCTGGCCTGTCCTCCCCCATACTAGGTAGAATAAGAGACACAGATGAAGCCAACTGCAAATAGGAACAAGATTTTTTTTCTCTCAGGACGATTGCACAAAGTATGAAAACAACTCCCTTCTTTGAGGACTACTGCTTTTTCACTCACCGAGGAATTCTGTACTCTAAAATCCTAAGCTATCCAGAACTGCTGTTAGAAATTACAGCGGTAGGAAACCTGGATGGCTCAGGTCATGATCCTGGAGTTCCCCATGGAGACTCGGCAAGGAGTCTGCTTCTCCCTCTGACCCTCCCCCCCCATGCTCTCTCTCTCTCTCTCTCTCTCTCATTCTTTCTCAAATAAAATCTTAAAAAAAAAAAAAAAAAGAAAAGAAATTACAGCACTAAAGGATAAATGTGCTTGAAGGACCCAAGTCACTGCCACCGAGCAGCAACCTTGCTTTCTAACCCTGGAACCAAGCTTCACATAGCAGCGTATGTGCAGTGTTATCCGTCTACCTTCAATTTGCGGTCTCCAGGGAAACAGGACGCTGTGTCCACATTTCCAGCCAGACTGCACTTGACTCCCACACGGCGCTGCGGGCTGCTCAGTCTACCAAAAACAGCTTCACTTAAATTTCACTTAAACGCCACCCTCCCCCTCCAAATCCTATAACAACTGCACCTTTTCCTTCATTTGGGGACATGCACCCCATTCCTCTCTCATTTGTAGAAAGCCAGTAAACCTAATCTGACTAGGTTAGTTGCTGGTGACTGCAGGTACACTGGGATAGAACACTGTGAACTCGGTCTCCTTCCAACACTCGGCCAGGGGCACGGGGGCTAACCTGAAAAATTCATGTCCTATGCATCTATGAAGAGAAGCATTTCCAGTAAGATTTCATTTTTATGGAATTATTAACCAAAATGTATTATTTATTTGTTTGCTGTTTTCAATAGCTATACCACAAATTACTGTTAGTGATCGTTCAATCCGGAGGTATTTTTTAATAAAACACTTCTTAAATTTTCAGGAAACTGAAAACAAATGATTCATACCACATTTTGCTGCAGAAACATAATAGGGTAGTCAAAAGATTTTAAGCATAAAAATGTATTACATGAATATGAATTTCTGGGGTGAAAGCAGAATGGAAATACAAGTTCAAGGAGGAAAACGGTGAAGGTTGTTAAAAAGGATTTGTATACAGAGCGCCTGGGCGGCTCAGTCGATGAAGCATCTGCCTTTGGCTCAGGTCACGATCTCACTCAGGGTCCTGGGATCAAGCCCCGCATTGGGCTCCCTGCTTAGCAAGGTCTGCTTCTTCCTCTACCCCTACCCCCACTTGTGTTCACTCTCTCTCTCTGACAAATAAATAAATAAGATCTTTAAAAATTAATAAAAAAATAAACTAACGTGGCTGGGAATGACTAAGGGAAAGGCTGCTTCACAAATTTCTTTTCATAAGCTCTTGTTGCACTTTAAAGAAGAAAAAAAAAGTAGAAAAGTATCCAAACCAGAGGTCATAATCCAGTGTTCTCCCAGAATCCCAGATGATGAGAGTCACCTGGGCCACTTGTAGAATATACAAACAGTCCTCACCCCCTGGAAATTCTGATTCAGGAAGTCTAGTGCCTTGGGACTGGATTTTTTTTTTTTTTTTTTTTTTGGCTGCCTGCTTTGTTTTACAAAATAAGGGCTGGGGTGATCTTTCTCTTCAGGGGCATCTGGGGAACACTGGGAGGATTAGATGCATCATCGATGCATGACAGGTGACCTGCGGAATCACAGAAAAGGCCTTCAGCTCTATCAAAGCAAAACAAAAGAAATGAATGGAATTTTGCTATAAATGAACTTTTTAAAAAATAAGTAAAATTAAATATTTTAAAGTATCTTTAAGTATATTTTGTTAAGGCATCTATGTGTCCTTTTAAAATTATTCTGACTTTACATGACTTTCTGATAAACAGACCAACCAGGAGCCTGGCTGTACAAGCCAAGAGTAGGGCCCTCGCTGCCCACCCTTGACACCTGACAGTCCAGCCAAGTAGGCGGCCCAGCTGGGCATCAGACTTCCTATCAACTGTGGTCAACTGTAAATTAAAGGTAAACTCTTGGGCACATCGGTGGCTGAGTCGTTAAGCGTCTGCCTTTGGCTCAGGTCATGATCCCAGGGTCTTGGGATCGAGCCCCACATCGGGCTCCCTGCTTTGCAGGAAGCCTGCTTCTCCCTCTCCCACTTCCTCTGCTTGTGTTCCCTCTCTTGCTGTGTCTGTCTCTGTCAAATAAATAAATAAAATCTTAAAAAAAAAAAAAAAAAAGGAAACTCTTATGGCACCTGGGTGGCTCAGTCAGTTAAATGTCTGCCTTCAGCTCAGGTCATGATCGTAGGGTCCTGGGATGGAACCCCATGTCGGGCTCCCTGCTCAGTAGCGAGTCTGCTTCTCTCCCCTCCCCCTCCCTACTCATGCTCTGTCTCTCTCTAATAAATAAATAAAACTAAAAAAAAAAAAAAAAAAGTAAACCCTTTAGATTCTTGACGAGAAAATACATAGTCAAAGCAATCTATAAAACCATGTCTAGGGACTTCTTAGACTTACAAACTCTGCTGGTAGTTCGCTTTCTTTGGGGGCACTTCTCCTGCAGAAACGTGTTACTTCCTGACCTTACTGACCGCCTCTTCTGGGACGTGCTCCCTCCCTCCCTCAACTCTGGCCACACTGACCTCCAGTGTTGTCCCTCCCACCTCCCAGGCCTACTTTGGCTTGGGGGCCTCTGTTCCAGGTGATCCTGTGTCTGGAACACTCTTGGTCAGACAATCTCCTTAGCTAACTCCTTCCCCTCCTGCAAGCCCGCTCAGACGTCTCCTCAGTGAGGCCTACCCTGACTGCGCAGCTGAATCCTGCAGCCCGTCCGCTATCCTCCGGCTCTGCCTTTGCTTTTTTTCATAGCTGGCTGCCCCCTGTCTCAGCTGCTCTAGCCTTTGCATGTTTATTATGCTTCTTGCACACTGTTTGCCTCCAGCACCAGAATGTCTTCTTCACACGGCAGATTTTTTAGTTTGCTGGTACCTCCTATCCTGAGCATCTAGAACAGTGTACCTAGCACCTAGTACAGAGTACCAAGTACCTAAAACCGAATACCTAGTACATAGTAGGTACTTAGTAGATATCTGTGGACTTCAACTGAATTCCAAAGTTTAGAGAAATTCAAAGATAAATAACAAGGTGGACACAGGGCACAGGAGGGCCGGGGTTCTTTGAAGGCCCTGTGCACCATCTCTTGGGTGAGCACAGATCCCATTTCTGCCTCAGCAAATGCACAGACCCTCATGTACCAAGGACCCCGGGGCTGAACAACAGTCAAAACCTTGACACCCAATCTGAAAATTCCTAGGATCTACTCTAACTGGAATGGCTGGTCGGAACTCCCCCGAGACAACGAAGGGGGATGGGAAAATGACAAAAGCCAAACCAGAACTAATTAACACCTTGAAAATATCAATACATTTTAGTGGCAGGCAAATTCTGTGACTCTGTCTCTAAATTAGAACTGGGGCAAGGAATCTAAACAATTTGAGCAAGGGTCTCGGATGTCCAGTGAGATCCAAGCTTAAAGAGTAGGCAGCATCCCTGCTCCCTGTTCAGGTAAAAGGAAATTAGGTTAAAAAGACGTATTATCCCAGTTTTCATTGCTCTCATTAACCTAGAGCAGTTGTTGGCAAACTTCATTCTATAAAGAGCCACAGAACACACTTTAGGCTTTGCAGGCCCGGCAGGGTATGTTGCAATGACTCAGTTGTGTTGTTGCAGGTGCAAAAGCAGCCGTGGACAATACAGGTACGCGTGGCTGTGTCTGAGTACCAATAAAACTTTATTTACAAACACAGATGCGGGGTGAATTTGACGTACAGGAAGCAGTTTGCTGACCTAGTGTAAATTTCAACCCAAATCTAGCACACGAGATGGAAGAGAAAATTCTGCCCTTGTTAGACTGTGTGTTCAAACACTCAATTGCTCTGGGCCTGGTTCCCTGTCCGAAAAGTTGAGACGTAAGAGGATCACCTCCATCTCTTCTAAATGTCAGCTTTGATGACTCCTAGATAAAAGCACGACTGTCCTTGCTGGTTAGTTACACTCATCTGGGAAAACTCCCAGACTTAGTGGTAAGGACAGCCGCAGCTCCCCAAGAAGCCAACAAACAGAACGTGGTTCATGTCGTTGGTGCCGGGTCAATGAGTAGCTTGTCAAATTTGATCAAAGTTTCTAACGAGCAAGTAGCCGGTCTGTCTGAAAGGAGACACAGCAGCTTTTCAGGACATGAAGCTGAACAGTTTTGGCTGAGAAAGAGAAGTGGCTGGGTCAGGTCTGTAGTTTCAGGAGGCCCAACTTACAAAATGATGTCCTTAACTGCCAGGATTCTCTTAACTTGCAGGAAAACTACCAAGTTCAATTTCCTCTGAAGACACATACAGCAGACGCCCAGGAGCTGCTGCTCAGTCCAGGGCATGAAAGGCGGATTGTAGAAGGATTGGGCTTGTAGAAGGATTCTGCTCTTATTTTCTTCTTTTTCCCCTACCTGCGTTTTGTTACCTTTCTACCATGATGATTTGTTTTCATTACTTAGTAGAGGAGAGCTGGAGAACACAGGACTAAAAATAAACCACAGGAGAAGGGACTAGGGATGTAGCTCATTCCCTCCTTTAGGAAGTTGATGCCATCCCACTCTTGGAGGATTCTGATGCTCTTTCAAACAGATGAGGGGCTTGAGTTGTCTGGCTATGACATTACTTTTACTTTATTTTTAACATATGCACACTAGTCTAGGTGCCACAGTGCATGTTAGAGGCCTCATGTCTATTTTTCAGGGGATAAGTTAGAAGAGAATTTAGTATACTCACAAAATTCTACAACCATCACCACAATCGACTTTAGAACACTTTCATCACCCCAAAAGGAAACTTGTCCCCATTAACGGTTACTTTCCATTCCTCCCTACCCAACCCTAGACAACCTCTCATCCACTCTGAGTCCCTGTCGATATCTGGATATCTCATATAAATGGAATCATGGGATTTGTGGTCTTGTGTGTCTGGCTTCTTTCACTTAGTATAATGTTTTCAAGGGTCATTCATGTTGTTGCATGGATGAGTGCGTCATTCATTTCTGGCTAATACGCCATTGTATAAATACCACATTTCCTTTATCCACTAATCAGATGAAGGACATTTGTATTGTTCCCACTCTTGGATTATGATAAACAATGCTGCTATGAGAATCACGGGTTCTTATGTTAGCTCTGCATATAACCTTTGGAGGAACTGCCAGACTGTCTTCCAAAGCAGTGGTATCATTATACCTTTCCACCAGCAACGGATCAGGGAGCCAGTTTCTTCACCAATACTTGTTGGTTTTTTGTTTGTTTGTTTGTTTTTTTTAAATTATAGCCATGCCAGTGGTTGTTAAAGGGTATCTCAGGTGGTTTTAATTTCCACTTCCCTAATTTTAATAATGTTCAGCATATTTTCAATATGCTTATTGACCGTGTATATATATTTGGAGAAATGTCTACTCAAATATTTAGCCCATTTCTAAATTGGACGACTTCTCTTTTTATTATTGAATTGTGAGAGTTCTTTATCTATTCCGGATGCAAGTCCCATATCAAATATTAGGCTTGCAAATATTTTCTCCCACTGAAGCACAGAGGTTTCTAATGTTGACGGAAAGCCAGGTTGCCCATTTTTCTTATGTTACTTGCGCTTTTGATGTCATGTCATGGAGGCTTTGACTAACTCGAGGTCATAAGGACTTACTCCTATATCTTCTTGAAAGTATTTTATACTTTCAGCTCTTATATTTAGATCCATGATCCACTTGGGTTAATTTCTGCGCGTGGTATGAAGACGGAGTCCAGTTTCCTTCTTCAGCAGGGGGCAATTCAGCCATTCCAGAGCCATTTGTTAAAAGGACTACTCTTTCCCTGAATTGCCTTCAGACGCTTTCCAAAAATTGGTTGGCCATACACTGAGGGTTTATTTTTTTTAAGATTTTATTTATTTGACAGAGATCACAAGTAGGCAGAGAGACAGGCAGAGAGAGAGGGGGAAGCCGGCTCCCTGCTGAGCAGAGAGCCTGAAGCGAGGCTCGATCCCAGGACCCTGAGATCACGACCCGAGCAGAAGGCAGAGGCTTTAACACACTGAGCCACCCAGGCGCCCCACACTGAGGGTTTATTTCTGGACTCTAAATCCTGTCTATATGTCTATCCTCACACCAGCGCTATGCTGTCCTGATGACTGTAAATTCGTAGTAACTTTTGAAACTGCAAAGTGTGAGTTCTTCAACTTCATCCTTCTTTTTTGTTTTGGCTCTTCTGGGCCCCGTGCATTTCCATATGAAGTTTAGGATCACCTTGCCGGTTTTAGCCAAGAAGCCAGCTGCACTGTGGGTGGAGACCAGCCATATCTGTAAATCAATTCAGGGAGTACCGCCCCCTAGACATTATGATGTCGTCTGGTCCACGGACACCAGTGTCCTTCCTCGTGTTCAGATCTTTTCATTTATCTCACTGCATAGTTTTCAAAGAATCTATTTTACATAGAAGGCAGTCGTCTAAAGGGATGTCCTCCTCGTTCCTACCACTTACACACAAAGGAAGAAGCGGGTCAAGGACACAAACGGTACTGATTAAAAAGACGTGGAGGAGATTAGACTCAGCCAGCTCACCCGAAGGGGGTCATCAAGGGCATTTCCAGAGTCTGTGGCACGTTTTTTATCCCTGTGAAGACTCAGAATGCTGGGCCTCATCCTGGCTGCATGGTAGACTCATCTAGGAAATTCCTGGAAATTGTGATGGCCAGGCTCCACCGGAGGAGTTACATCAGAATCTCACACTTGGTACCCAGCCATATTTTTAAATATGTAGCTGAGGTAACAACCACTGCTTTACGTAATGATAACAAGTTTCAGTGAAGACTTCCATTTTATTGATAATGATTTCAAACTATACATTTTTATTATAAAACTATTAAAATTATAAATTTAAGTTTATAATATTTAAAATGATATTTATACTATTTATTATATTCACATTTCTTTATGAGTTATTTATATTCTACCTTAGAAAGGAAGTAAGCAGACTGATAAAAATATATAAATGAAATTAAACGGGAAGATAAAACAACCAGGGTCCAAAAAGCAAGCAAAATGAAAGGGAGGATAAAATCGAACTCAGAATGAGATAAAAAACGCATAGTCTGAGGGTCTCCACTTTCCACACAAATAGGAGAGACAGCATCAGCACCATGACGCGGCCCCAAATAGCGATCCTGAGGCTATCTGGTAATTCGGCGAGTGTTTGGTAATGGGACCAAAGAGGCGCTCACCAGGCCACTGCCTGGGGGCACAGCGGGTGATGAAGGAGGAAGGCCCACACGGGGTGGACATCACCCCGGCTGTGCACTGGGTATTCAACTCATCCACACCTAATGCCGCTACCAACTCTTGCTGAAAGATACAAGTGAAATGTTCATTCCAGAAGAACTTTCCAAGTGTGAACACGAGCCCTAAGGCAAATCCCCTGGAAAAAGACATGGCTGCCTTCATCTATAGTTACCGATATTTTGTTCTTCAATCAAAGCACCTATAGACCAGGGATGCCTGGGTGGCTCAGTTGGTTAAGCCATTGCCTTCGGCTCAGGTCCTGATCCCAGGGTCTTGGGATCAAGTCCTGCATTGGGCTCCTTGCCCAGCAGGGAGCCTGCTTCTCTCTCTGCCTCTGCCTGCTGCTCTGCCTGCTTGTGCTCTCCCTCTCTCTCTGACAAATAAATAAATAAATAAAATCTTAAAAAAAAAAAAAAAAAAAAAAAGCAGCACCTATAGACCAAATAAGAAAACATAAACTTTGTGTCTTTTTTTTTTTGAACGAGAACAGTAGGTAAGATCTGTTCAGACGACATATCCAAACCAGCTCAGTGACTTCTGTCTCCCACCTTGGTATTCCCCATACCTGAATCTGTTGGTGGCCGGGGTGGTTTCCATGTTGAATTCGGCCACTGGCACTCCCCGGGCAGACACCTGGGGCGCGAACATGGCGGCAGGATAAACCACGGAGGAAGTTCCCACCTACAAAGCAAACGAACGGAAATGGACAAATGACCACATTCCAGGGAGAAGGAACATTCTTTCAGAAAACCTGACAGAAACTCAGGCCAGTTTGTGGTTACAGATGTGAGGGAAGCTAAGCTGGGTGGGCTCAATGGGGAGCTTCCAAGGGACAGATGGGGAAGTTGGAAGGCATCCTTTCGGCTGACCACTAGACCAGTGTGCTAGAAGAAAAGCAGTACATATGGAGAGAATGGCAGATGAATGACTCAGTTTTGTTTCTGCTCTGGGAGGTGATGGCAGTAATCCATGTTCTTTTTTTTTAACATTAGAAAATGCAAAGAAAAAATACATACATGTCATCCTCCTGCTACCCCAAGATAACCATGGTTCACATTTTAATATATATTCTTTCAGGTTTTTCCACGAACATGTATTTACAAATGTGCTTTCCAAGAAAGGAAAGACCAGAACATGCTGGATAAACCAGCTTTTCTCATGTGACCATTGGTCATGAACATGGCCGCGACACTGGCACGAGCTCAACAGTACCGGCCAGGTGAATCCATGAGAAAATCCTTCTGCTTCTAAAGACACGTTCTAGAAATTCTGAAATACGCATACCCTTTGTCCAATTAATTCCACTTCTAGGAAAATGTGTCCTAAGGAAAGGATCTGAAGAACATGCTAAGAAGTTATGTCTACGACAATTCACCCTAACATTATTTAAAATATAAAAATGGAAATGGCCTAAATGTCCAAAAACAGAGAACTCGTTAAATATCTCCTTTTATATCAAGCAACAGGACACCATGCAACGAGTTAAAAGATGATGCGGATTTGTGAACGGACTGACAAGGAATACATGTGTGTAAAGTTGTTTCAAAACAGAGCATAAAAAATATTTTTGATTTAAATATTGGTAGATGACTCCTCCCATCTATAAATGATCCTGGTTCATTTAAATGCAGAAATTATAGAACTAAATTCCTATTTCAATTCTCTACGTTACTTTTAAGATGGGAACATATTTTCAGAAAAAAAAATACAAAGTATGATAGAATTTTAAAAAAACAGAGCATATAATCTGAAGCCATTTTTGAATTTTAAACTATATGTATACATCTGCATAAGAAAATGTCTAACCCAGGAACGGGCAAGGAAAGGGCCGGATAGTAATTTTTTTAGGCTTTGTAAGCCAGAGTCTCCCTCACAAAGAGTCAACTCTGCCGATAGAGTGTGAAGGCAGCAGGAGATGACCCAGAAGAATGGATATGGCTGTGTTCCAATAAAACTTTATTTACAAAAACAAGTGGCGGCCCAGATCTGGCCCACAGGCCGCAGTTTCTCACTTCTGATCTAGAGAAGAAATATACTAAAATGCTAACTGTGGCTATTTCTGGATGGTAGAGTTATTGGGGATTTCGAATTTCCTCTTCACAATTTTGTACTTGTTTGTATTTTCTCAAATTTAATAATGAGCATGTAGTACTTTCAAAATCAGAAGTAATAACATGCTTTTTTTTTTTTTTTGGTGGAAAGAGGTTTCATGAAGCCTACGACACGGTCTTGCATAGTTGTGCATTTAAGATCAATTCGTATTCTTTGTTTCTTCGTTTTTCTGTAGGGTACCACAAGACCTCTCAAGACAGAAATTCGGAGGGGGAAGGAAGGAAAGGGAACAGAGAAGGAAGGGAGGAGGGGGAAGGAGGGAGGGAGGAAAGAAATACCAAACTCCACCCCAGTCCTGGTGTTCCAGAAAATCTCAAGGATTGGGGAAGGGAATGACCTACCACTAGACACAAGTCACAGAGGTTCAGCTCTCTGTCAACTTCTTCCAGAATGGCAGGATCCAGGTTTTCTCCAAACCACACCACATGGGGTCGCAGCAGACCCCCGCACCCGGCCTCTTCGCACCTGTAAGAACATCGTCCTTCACCCAACCCCAACACCTGCCCTGCCAGGTCTGCCTAGGTGGGTCACAGGACGGCTAGGGGCTACTCCAAAACCAGGCTGTCCAGTTGGGTGGCTCTGATCCTTCTTATCCTCTGTTCCTCCCCTACCAGACCATGTGAGCTTATCCTGGATAGAAATTACTCATTTTAACGGCCCTCATCAAGTTTTTATTTTGTCTAGATGCACGGGGCTCATGTGTTGACACATGTATTTTGGCCAACCTTCACACTCCCTTTCTAAACAGTGTTTCAAAAGATTAAGAGGCCCAAAATGGAGTCCCTTGTGCTAAGCCCCACATCAGCAAACCAGAACTTACTACCTAACCTGTAGCTTCAGACTCTCCAGGGAATGTGACCTCTCACCAGTCAGCATGGAACCACCCGGTCAGCACTAGCAGAGTAAGCCACTGAAACACCCCCGGGTCCCCTGAAGGAAGGTGACCTCGTCTGAAACAGTTTCCTCCTTGCCAGAAAAACTTCCTCGCCCTGCCTCCTTTGGCCTATAAGAGTCTTCCACTGTGTGTGGCTCCTTGGAGCGCCTTTCTGTCTGTGAGATGGGATGCTGCCTGATCCGCGAAGCTCGGAGAAAGCCAACTGATCTCCAACATTGACACAGCTGGATTTTTTTTTAAAGATTGTTTATTTATTTGTCAGAGAGAGAGAGGTAGAGAAGCATACAAGCTGGGGGAGAGGCAGAGGGAGAGGGAGAAGCAGACTCCCCACTAAGCAAGGAGCCCCACGCAGGACTTGATCTCAGGACCCTGGGATCATGACCTGAGCGGAAGGCAGCCGCTTAACCAACTGAGCCACCCAGATGCCCCTGGATATGCGGTTTGCACAGCAGCTTTCTCTTTCCCAGCTACTTCACCACACGCATCGGTGTGGCTGCCTGGGTGGAACCAGGCTCAGACCTGTCTCTAACACCCCAACCACCAGCTGGTCTCATCAATGACCTCCTTTCCTGTTTCCCCAGATTCACCTTTTTCTTGCCCTGACCACAGCCAAGTTCTCCAGGGTCCATTGCCAAAACCTTCTCATTTTTCACTCCCTCCTACCTCTAGGTCATCTTATATAAACCTTCTAAAATAATCCCCCAAACATCTTTTTCATCTTAATAATCTCCCCAAGAACTGCTCAGGGTTCCCCATTGTTTTATATCAAACTTTAGAATTCGGTAATAAAAATCCTGACTAAGAATCATAAAAAGGGTTCTGTAGTTAAATAAGCTGGTAAAATATTAATATATTATAACCACTTTTTAAGGAGGAACAGTGTACTTCACATATTAAATGCTCTGAGAAGTCCCACAGGAACGCAAATTTACTCTTTGTTTAATCTGTGGTTTCTGTATTTATTGGAGCACATAATTTTTTTTTCAAGTAATGCCTATCAACGTCGCATGGATCTAGTGCTCTATGAAACACTTTAGGAACCACTGTGGTAACATCTGTTTTGGGAAACCTGAGAGAAAAAAGTCTCTCCAGGGTTTATCGTAATGTGAAAATCCTGTCTGGTCCTGTAATTTCACCTTCTCAAGACCTTTTTTACTACCTCCTTTTCCCCTGGATTGATAACACTGATGATGACAAGAAGGATGAAGATAATACGCTTTACATACACCAGATATGTATCTGCAGCCTACCAGCTCCAGAAACCTCCCAGACCTCAAATTCTCCCACCACAACACAAGCAAAAAGAGACCAGAAAGGAGTTCTCACCCTGCTTTGGTTCACCTTTGCCCTTTCACTATTGGCCTCATAGGTCAGGGCTGGTTTCTGCACTGGCACCTAAAGGTTAAAAGAAGCACCTCACAGAGCACCTGGGTGGCTCAGTTGGTTAAGTGCCTGCCTTCAGCTCTGGCCATGATCTCAGGGTCCTGGGATCGAGTCCCACATCAGGCTCTGAGCTCAGCCAGGAGCCTGCCTCTCCCTCTGCCTCTGCCCCTCCCTGCGCTCATGTATGCTGACTCTCTCTCAAATAAACAATCTTTAAAAAAAAAATTAAGAGGCACCTCACAAAATGAACTTAGATTTTGATTCCTTTCTTTCTTTTTTTTTTTACACTCTGGGAAACCAAACATGGATCAATGTTGTTTTACCCACCGGGGAAGTTTCTCCACTGGGATTCCGGCATCTTGAGCTTCGGGGTCTGGAGCACTGAAGCAAACGGTATTAGAAAGGAAACAATGTCATTGGTATAATCAAAGAACAAAGAGATAATATAACCCAATAAATCTGCATATTTTCCCGGCAGCATACAGTTCAAAACCTATAATTAGTACATGCTGACTTAGAGGGGCCCAAGAAGGACAGACAACAAACAATTAGCCACTGGAGGTTTTACTCAAGAGAAAGAATCTGCATGTGGGGAGGGGGTGAGCCACCGGGAAGCCAATGGGAGTTTCATGACATGCATCGTATACGTCATCATGATTTGACTCTTCCACCCTGATATGTATTAATATATTGCTTTTATGATTTATACTGACTTAAAATGGCCAGGTAAAATTTTTCTCAATATTCCAAGTATATTCTTATTTTTTCCCCTTAATTATAATAATAGTACATGTTCATCACAGAATTGTTAGAGAAGTCTAGAGAGTGGTAAAGAAGAAATCAAAATTTCCTATAATCCCACCATTCTTGATAATCACTGTTAATATTTCATTGTATTTTTTACCTGTATATAGATATATCAACATGAAGGGTGTGTGAGTGTGTGTGTGTGTGTGTGTGTGTGTGTGTGTGTGTGTGCTGGGATCATATGTGGTAACAGTTAGGTCCTGTGGTTTTTACTTAGCATTGTAAACTTTGAGCAAGGTATTTCTTTTTTTTTTTTTTTAAGATTTTTATTTATTTATTTGACAGAGATCACAAGCAGGCAGAGAGAGAGGGGGAAGCAGGCTCCCCGCTGAGCAGAGAGCCCGATGTGGGGCTCGATCCCAGGACCCTGAGATCATGACCTGAGCTGAAGGCAGAGGCTTAACCCACTGAGCCACCCAGGTGCCCCAAGCAAGATATTTCTTTTATCAGATGACTGTACTGTGTCTAGTCTTGTTTTTCACAAATATCCATGGGAATCCTAGGCTACCGTTCAATTTCCTTACATTTATGTTCAACTGAAAAGAGAAAACAACACACACTCGTCCCGGAAAGCAGTATAATTACCCTTTCCCTGATAAAGCTGCACAAATGGGACTCTTGTAATTCTCAGCCACAATGCCACAAGAGGTACAGCGGGTTTTAAATAAGCTACCTGAAAAACACAAATTAAATGAGACCAGAGTTTAGTATAATCAACAGCCATTTTCTCTTTGATGTGATATAAAATAACTGAGTTTTTATGGGTCCACGTTAGCAAATGGGGCTGCCCTAGGTTTCGAGGGAAACACAAAGGCAGGCAGCGGTCCTAAGCCAGCCGAGGGCACCTGCCTCCTGGACCCTGCAATCCGGAAGGGAGAGACATAAAATCCCTTACTCCACGATGAAGCGGCTCCTGAATGACCTCAATGCGCAGCTGCATTTGAAGTGGTCGTTAGGGCACATGAAGCCACAGTGAACCCAAGGGCGTGGTTTACCAAGTACATGGTTGATAAAGGTTCCCTACCTTGGATGTATTTGCAAACTTTTCATTTCGACCTAACAAATTTTGACTTTTATACAAAAGCAGCTCCGTGAATACATAAATCTACTAGTACATAAGCCAATAATTGTTAAAACCAGTGACCATTTCTTGAGGAGCCGGTAACGTGACCGTAATTCACCAGATGTTCGCCTTGCATCCAGCGCCGCACTGAGCCCGCCACACGCCAGGGTGGACGTGTGTCCCTCCATTCCGTCCAGCATTCCCTCCTCGGGGAGCCATTTCTCTTCTTCCCCATGCTGAGCGGAAGGAGCTGTCCATCCCATCCCAAGATACAAGCTTAGGCCCCGGCTCCAGACTGGCCCAATCATGGTACCTAATCCGGTAGTCTCGGGGGCCTGATGGAACAAAGGCCAGCCCCGGCTGTTTCAGCCAAAGAACCACTGAAGGACCATGTGAGGAGGACAAAGAGTTCTGGCTGTTGTCCAGAACCCTTCCACCTTCCATGGACACATTTGGGTAAGAGCCAGAGAGGCCCGGGACTGGACTCTGCAGGACGAGTGTCAGCAGCTTAGAAGGGAAGCTGGAGACAAGAGAGGAGCAGCCTTTTTGGGAACGCTGCGTCACAGATACTCTGGATGGCACAGAGCAAGGAACACACGGTGTCACAATGCCTTGGAGTTGTTTGCAAGAGAAGCCAACGAGCTGGCTCGTGAGGCATACCTGCCCACTTTAATTCACTCGTATTTTGTGGGTTGTTTTTTTTTTTAAGATTTTATTTTTGCTAAAGAGAGAGGGAGAGAGTGAGCACAAGCATGGGCAGCAGCAGAGGCAAAGGGAGAAGCAGGCTCCCCGCTGAGCAGGGAGCCCGATGCGGGGCTCGATTTTAGAACCCCAGGATCACTGCCAAGCCAAAGACAGAAGCTCAACAGACTGAGCCACCCAGGTGCCCTTTTGTATTTTATATGCACAAGTGTGATATAGTTTCTAAAACAGTGTCTAAGGAGACTTGTCTTGAAAGAAGTTGCTGTGGCCAATGTCAACGAGGTTATTGCCTATGTTCTTATCTGGGATTTTGATGGATTCCTGTCTTACATCGAGGTCTTTCATCCACTTAGAGTTTATCTTTGTGTATGGTAGAAGAGGACAGTCCAGTTTCGTTCTTCTGTATATAGCTGTCCAATTTTCCCAGAAAGATAAAAAGCTTCTGCACAGCAAAGGAAATAGTCAACAAAACAAAGAGGCAACCCACGGAATGGGAGAAGATACTTGGAAATGACAGTACAGACAAAGGGCTGATATCCAAGATCTATAAAGAACTTCTTAAACTCAACACACAAAAAAACAGATAATCAAGTTAAAAAATGGGCAGAAGACATGAACAGACAATGAACAGACACTTCTCCAAAGACGACACACAAAAGGCTAACAGACACATGAAAAAATGTTCATCATCATTGGCTCATCAGGGAGATTCAAATCAAAACCACATTGAGATACCACCTTACACCAGTTAGAATGGCCAAAATGAATAGGACAGTAAACAGCAAGTGTTGGAGAGGATGTGGAGAAAGGGGAACCCTCTTACACTGTTGTTGGGAATGCAAGTTGGTGCAGCTGCTCTGGAAAACAGTACGGAGTTTCTTCAGAAAATTAAAAATAGAGCTACTCTATGACCCAGCAATTGCACTACTGGGTATTTACTCCAAAGATAGAGATGTAGTGAAAAGAAGGGCCATGTGCACCCCAATGTTCATAGCAGCAATGTCCACAATCGCCAAACTGTGGAAAGAGCCAAGATGCCCTTTGACAGACAAATGGATAAAGAAGATATGGTCCATATATACAATGGAATATTACTCAGCCATCAGAAAGGATGAATACCCAACTTTTGTATCAACATGGACAGGACTGGAGGAGATTATGCTAAGAGAAATAAGTCAAGCAGAGAGAGGGTCAATTATCACATGGTTTCACTTATTTGTGAAGCATAAGGAATGGCATGGAGGACATTAGGAGAAGGCAAAAATGAAAGAGGAGAAATCAGAATGATAGTCGAACAATGAGAGACTATGGACTCCGGGAAACAAATGGAGAGTTTTAGAGGGGCGGGGAAGGGGGATGGGCTGGCCCCATAGTAGGTATTGAGGGTACAGACTGCATGGAGCACTGGGTGTTAGATGCAAACAATGAATCATGGAACACGACATCAAAAACTAATTTGTATGGTGGCTAACAGAACAAAATAAAAATAAATAAATAAATAAAATAAAACTGTGTCCAAGTAAGTTTGAACAAACTGTTTCTGTAACTACAAAGTAACAATTCTAAGGGATAATAAAACATCATGGTTTGGGTAGACTATTCTCTTTGTAAGGGTCACATTAAAAATGTGATGTATCTTGGGGCTCCTGGGGAGGGGGGGCGATCAGGTGGTAGAGCGTCCAATCTCAGCTCAGGTCCTGGTCTTGGGGTTGTGAGTTTGAGTCCTGTCTTGGGCATGATGCATCTTAAAAGTGGTGGCATCTTTAGTTTGATGGAAGACAGGGCTTTCTTTTGTTTTTACCTAAATTAAACCCCCAATGTTGCAACTAATGCACATATTATCTTCTTTAATCCTTGAAACAACTCTGAGAGGTGTTAACATCCCCACTTGATACATTTATACCTGGCAAGGGACATCACCTGCATTCTGCACCCGCACAGAAACAAGCCACATGGACAGACCCTGTAGAAGAACGTGCCAACAAGGCACCCAGTCAGTGGGTGGCCAGCTACTGCTGGGACACAAAAGTGAGACAGGACCCAAGTGAAGGCTGCTTCACCACCATTATCCCAGGCAAAAATGGGCAACTTCACTGCATAGCCACAGAAACCAGCAACATTCCCCATGGTGTCACTGCTTCTGGAAATTCCACAATTAGAAATGCGTTCCTTGGGAAGGAAGTTTTGTAGGCTCTTAAACACAAATGCCCTTGGGAAGAAATTTTGCATACCCATTTATGCCCTTGTATGAATCAATTTATTAGATTTTTTGGTGAGCCCCAAGCAGGGAGAGAAGATGAAAGAGGACGCGAGGGAAAAGGAAGATGTCATCAAGGGCAGAGGAGGGAAGCCAGACAGGATATAAGACAAACTTGGTGGGCTGGCTACAGTGAAGGTCACTGATCTGGCAGCTTCCCTAAGTGCTCACCAGCTGAACGAAGCCCAGCCTCGGGGAGAGAGCCAACTGGGGACAAAGGGAAGGTAAACAGCTACCCCCTAGGGAATGCCAGCATCGTCCCTGGGCCCCTGCTGCTAAAGGAGTTTCCCCAGCCTCCCATTTCCCCTCAGCCCGGCTAGGCACCGCCACTGTGCAATACACACACCAGACCCCTGGGCATCTCATCAAAATGCAGATTCCGGGGGAGCCTGGGTAGCTCAGTGGTCTGGGCCTCTGCTTTCGGCTCCGGTCATGATCTCAGGGTCCTGGGATCGAGCCCCGCATCGGGCTCGCTGCTCAGCGGGGAACCTGCTCCCCACTCCCTACCATTGCCTGCCCTTCTGCCTACTTGTGATCTGTCTCTGTCAAATAAATAAATAAAATCTTTAAAAAAAAATGCAGATTCCGATTCAGTGGGTCCCTGGAGGGAAATGCAGGACTTATTGTTTGAAGTCTGGTTCCCCTCCCCACATGAGGGCCCCCTCACCATGGATTTCCAGAAGGTTCTTGGTGCCAGCCCTGCGGTGCAGCTCATCGATGTTCTGAGTGATGACCATGACCCGTCGGCCCTGCTCGCGCAGCCGAGCCTCACATTCAGCAATGGCAAGGTGCCCCGGGTTCGGCTCCTTGCTCAGCATGACCTCCCGCCGGTAGTGGTAGAACTCCCACACCAGGGAAGGGTTTCGTGCAAAGGCCTGTGGGGTGGCCAGGTCCTAGGAGTGGGGGGAGAGAAGAGGCGGGAGTCAGAGACAGAGGCCAGGATGCACTAATGCTCTGGGACACGGAAGCAGGCAGCTTCTGGAGGGAGCAAGCTGGAATGCAGCTGCCAGAGGCCCACGCGGTGCGACAGATCGGGACAGGGGCCCGGGGCCAGCCTGAGTCCCAGACCTGGGACTAATGAGGGACCGTCGGGAAACCGGCTTTAACTTCTCCACTTCCAAGGCGGGGATATTGCCACCTGTTCCATTCCAGGCAAGGAAGTTATGGACAGGAAGTCAAGCAATCTGTAGGAAAATGATTCAGGTTGAAGCCGCTTTTTCATGGAGCCCCACAATATAGGAAGTCGATTCATTTATCCAGGAAAAAAAGCAAAATGCAAAGTGCCTGCTTGAGGTATAATGGCCGTAGTTGACGAACTTAGTTTTTTATAACAGTAAGTAGAGCTACACGCATACACACAACTATGCATATAAAAAACAGGATATATATTAACAGAATATATAAAATATATTTTTAAAGCATGATTCCTCTTCTAGGATGAACAAATCTCATCCACAGCAAAAAAGAGAGGAGCGTCGTTGTTGTCTGGGGCTGCCAGCCAGTGGGAAAGGCCACAGGGGAACCTCTGGCAATGACTGAAATAATCTGTATCTTGGGGTCCTGGGGGGTTCAGTTGGTTAAGCGTCTGCCTGTGGCTCACGTTATGATCCCGGTGTCCTGAGATCAATCCCCACGTTGGGCTCCCTGCTCAGTGGAGAGTCTGCTTCTGCCTCTCCCCCTACTTGGGCTGTCTCTGTCTCTCTCTCTTTCTCTCAAATAAATAACTAAAATCTTTTTTAAAAAAAGAAATAGTCTATATCTCGATGGTGGCAGTAATGGTATTATGCATTTTGTTTGACTGTAAAGGTCACCCTTCTATCCGGCAGTAGAGTCAGCCTTCACTTGGGGAGTCAATAGGGAGCAAATGTGTATGTTGTGGATTATCCGCATCTACGTCCTGCCCTCTATGCAGAACGTGAGTGGCCTGAAGCAGTTTTCGGGTGCCACGGAGCATGTCCACGTGTGTCCTTGGAACACGGTGGTGTCAGACACAGTCTATGGACTTCTTTGCTTCCCCACAAACTCTGAGCTGCTTTGACACCACTGACTGCCTCTCTCTTCTGGAAGCACCCACTGAGCTTCTCTAATTAGGAGACTGCTCTGTGTGGCCCCTCTCTAATGGGACCCTGATGGCCCTCTGCACTCCTTCCTCCCCTCCTTCACCTTTAAGGCGGTGATGCCCACCCCTACCTCCATAGGCTGGAGGGCAAGAGAGGCGAGAAAACATCCCACACGTTGACAGCCTAATGCACTTAATAGGGCAGGAAAAGTTCACTAACCCTTCATTAACAAAAAGCTACCTCCTAAATTTGGAATTCACGTACTGAAGTAACTATTTACGGTGGCCTTCGTTCAGCCAAAAAAAGTCTAGCAAGCACTTCCATGTGCCAGAGTTCTGGGAGCTGGGGACAGAGCAATGGATAAAACAGACAGAACCTTCCACATTCCAATACTAGGGATTTCCTAGGCCGGGGGCTGAGGGGAAGCAGAGTGCCTAAGGCCAAAAGTACATTCTGGGCCCAGGATGGTGGGTGGTGGCTCCACCTGTTAAAATGGATTGAATGGTACACTTCAAAGTGGTGAGTTTTATTGTACGTACAGTTAATCCTTGAACGACGTGGGGCTTAAGGGCACCGACCTCTGTGTGGTCAAAAATCTTTTGTGTACCGGGGCGCCTGGGTGGTTCAGTGGGTTGAGCCGCTGCCTTTGGCTCAGGTCATAATCTCAGGGTCCTGGGATCAAGCCCCACATCAGGCTCCTTGCTCAGTGGGGAGCCTGCTTCTCTCTCTGCCTCTGCCTGCCTCTCTGCCTGCTTGTGATCTCTGTCTCTCTCTCTGTCAAATAAATAAATAAATAAAATCCTAAAAAAAAAAAAAACCCTTGTGTGCACCTTTTGATTCTCCAACTTTACTATGAATAACCTCCTGTCAACAGAAAGCCTTACCGAGAACAGAAACCGTCAAAGAGCATGTATTTCATATGTCATACGTAAAAGATTCTATATTCTTACGATAGAGCATACTAGAAAAAATGTCATGAAAATCCTAAGAGAACATACATGGATGGTGCTGTCCAGTAGGGATCGACCCCAAAAGCACAGTGTCCCTTTACAGCAGGAACCATCTGTCAGTGCCTACATCAATATTCTTATACAGGATACAAAACACTGTAGACGTTATACATATTACTAACAGCAGACATCAAAAAAAAAAAAAAAAAAGATAAGGTGAAAAAAATTCCTATTTATCTATGTGTGAAAATTCACATGCTGCTAACGAAGAGGCTGGCTTTCTGGCACCTGGTATAGTGGGTAACCTCGCTTCAAGGCAGCTTGTCTGTTCGCCCGTGAACGGTTATGGTATCTTTACGGCATATTCGGTATTATGGTCATATTTGTCGTGCAGTATTAGAAACACTGTTACAGTTTTTTAAAAACCACCTACCTGTGATGATGGGTTGATACAGCTTCTCCATTTGGGAGAAAGAGAGGCTGACTGCACCGTAGCGCAATTCTTTGAACGCAAAGTCGTAGAACAGTAAGAAAAGGGACACATTATTAATTTTATATTAAATATTACTCGCTTTACGCCTGTGTGAGGGTAAGCTGGCTGCTTCCATCCAAGTCTGGCTTGTGACATACACAACGCGTTCTTAGGTGATGCCGGTGATGGGGATGACACGGCTTCTTGCCAGACGGTTGTTAGAGTCTCACGTTTACGCACACGCATGCGCGACGGACCAGCGCGTCAAGTATATGGCACGATCCTTATTTTTGACTCATGAAGTGGACCAGCACCGAGTCTTCAGCCCTGCTGCCTTCATGCTGAGAGGGCTGAGGAGGACGAGGGGCTGGTCCTGCTGTCCGGTGGGCGGAAGCCGCAGAGGCGGTGGGAGGGGAGGCAGGCACACCGAGCGTAACTTTACAGAAATACACTGAAACTTCGGCCCGGCTTCTTCGCCGTCTCCTTTCTCTGAAAATGGTTCCATATGGTACCAAGCCTTCTTCCACCATTTGCCTTAGTGTCAGTGCCTGAGCCCATGTCAGAAAAGAAGTCAGAAGTCCTCCTAGATTGTTGGAACCCTTCTGCCAGGCCATCTACTGTCCCTTTGCCTTCTGTGAGGCTTCCAAGTCCTCCCTGCTCTGTCTGGCACTGGTTCAGAAGCTATCGTCTTCATCGAGTCATCTTCTGTTCATTCCTCTGCCGTGGTGTCTGCTAGCGCTTGAATTTCTCCAAGATCTAAATCTTTTTTCTTTTTTTAAAGATTTATTTATTCTAGAGAGACAGAGAGGGACCCTGTGCATGTGCGGGGGAGGGGCAGAGGGACGGAATCTCAAGCGGACCCCCCACTGAGCGAGGAGCCCAATGCGGGGCTCGATCTCATCACCCTGAGATCACGACCTGAGCTGAAACCACGAGTGGGATGCTTCACTGACTCAGCCGCCCAGGTGCTCCCAAGGCCCCAGTCTTAAAGCCCTTAGTCCCCCACCTTTTCTGCCACACCCACGGTCTTTTTCATGGCTTCCTTGATTGCCTGTTTTGTAAATCCTGAGAAGTCACGCACAACATCGGGAAGCAGTTTTCTCCTGCAGGAATTTGTTGTTCTGGGCTTTACGGTTTTAGCAGCTTTGTCTCTAACAACAATTGCATCTTTACTGGTGTAATCCTTGCAGACTTTCACGATGTTCTCTCTGCCGGAGTTCCCTTCAACAGCACTGGCAATCCTTTCCCTTAGAGCACTGTGTGTCATGAGCCTTAGCAGTCCTTATGACCCCCTGAAATATAGGCTGAATTAGAGACGATGTGTTTGAGAGGCAAGTAGACCAGTTTGACGACTTCAATGTTGAACTCCTGGGCTTCTGGGTGGCCGGGGGCGTCATCCAATTTCAAAGGAATGTTAAAAGGCAGTCCCCTTACTGGCAAGGTACTTCATCAACAGGACCCATCCAGAAACAGGATTCTTGCAGTCCAGGCCTTCTTGTACAACCAAAGGATTAGCAGCTGGTATTTCTCTTTTCCCTTCAAAACTCGGGGGTTATCAGCTTTATAGATAAGGGCTGCCCTGATCAGAAACCAGAGTGCATTTCTATCAAACCGCAGAATTGGCCTTTCTCTTCTTGCCTTAAATCCCAGCCATCACTTCTGTTTCTTACTAATCAACATCCTTTGTAGCATTTTCTCCCCCAGAATGGGGCACCTGTGTCTGTATTAAAACCCTGTTCAGGCAGACACACTCTCTCCAAAGCGATCTTCTTAATGGTACCTGGGAACTGATCTGCTGCCTCTTGGTTGGTAGAAGCTACTTCTATTAACTTGGCTTTTTTTTTTTTTTTTAAATCCAAACCTCTTTCTAAGATTATCCAACCATCTTTTGCTGGCCCTGAATTCTCCAGCTTTAGATCCTTTACCTTCTTTCTGCTGTAAGTTTGCTCTTTCTCAAATCACCTTAGAGTGTATGGGTGTACCTTTCTTATAGCAATCCCGAACCAGCATCAAAGCTGCATTTTCAGGAAGAGATAAAAATGCATTTCACGGGGCACCTGGGTGGCTCAGTGTGTTAGGCCTCTGCCTTCAGCTCAGGTCATGATCTCAGGGTCCTGGGATCGAGCCCCGCATCGGGCTCTCCGCTCAGCAGGGAGCCTGCTTCCTCCTCTCTCTCTGCCTGCCTCTCTGCCTGCTTGTGATCTCTCTCTCTGTCAAATAAATAATTTTTTTAAAAAATGCATTTCACAATATGGCGAGTGCTGTGAAGTGTGTAAGCCTAAATAATCACAGACCATTTACCTCTGGGGCAAATAATAAATTATATGTTAATAAAAATAATTAATAAAGAATTTTTAAAAGTGCATTTCACAAAAAGGGCAGGTCATTGCACCTGCTGGTGTAGCTACGGCAATGACTTCATGAATTTGCTTTTCTTTTTTTTCCCAATGAACCTTACTGGGTTCATTTATCTTGCAGTGGTGGGCAACCACAGCCGCAGACCCCACCCCACAGGTCACATCAAGTAATTCAACCTTTTCTTGTGATGTCATGACTCTCCTCTGCTTCTTAGGAGCGTTTCCTATATCACTACTGGCACTTTGCAGGGCCCCCCCAGCACGGTATGATTCAGGGTTGACTGTACTGCACTATCCACAATGGAAAAATAAACGAGAACCCCAAGAGATCACTCTTTCCTACAATACGAAGTTTACTGGAGGGACAAACGGCTCACATGGAGATGACAAGTGTCACACCGTATCTCAAGCGGAGGCCGGCAACATTTGAGCTCAGCACAGCAGCAACTGGAGGCAGCTACGGAACCATTCTGGTAGTTCGGTTTATGTAATTATGATTTAATGCCGCATCGTGACATTTGTTTACATGTCTCTAGCCTTGGAATGATACCACTGTGTGCGTAAGTTTTGATAAATTTTAACTTTCTGCAATAAATCTGTAAGGCAGTAAATGATAAAAACAGACTAGTATCTACATATATTTCACGCATTTGTGACATACCTTTTTCTTAGATTTTTAGATAGTTCAAGGTTACACAGCTCATTTGTGAGTTTTTTCAAACTGTTTCCAATCTCTTTAAAAAGTTTTATAATATATATAGAAAAAAACTCCATGTGTCAGTGGACCCAGATAATTCACACCTGTGCTGTTCAAGGGTCAATACCTTGTATACCTCAATACAAACTGAATTTTATTTAATTTACTTGTTTGCCTTAATACAAACTGAATTTTTAAAAAGTCCATACCCATAGAAGTTTCGTTCTAACGGCCTTCATATAAAGTTCTAAATGTGAAACCCTAAGCCTCAACAGTGCAACTGTGGTTTTAAATATGAGAGGTTCAGGGGTGCCTGGGGGGCTCTGTTGGTTAAATATTTGCCCTCGGCTCAGGTCATGGTCCAGGGTCCCACGATCGAGGCCCACTTAGGGCTCCCTGCTCAGCAGGGAGTCTGCTTCTCCATCTGCCCCTCACCCTGCTCGTGCTCTCTCTTCCTCTCTCAAATAAATAAATAAAATCTTTTAAAAAAAATGAAAAGTACACAGGAACTTTAAAAAAATGTATAATCCTGGGTAGCTGGGTGGCTCAGTTGGTTAAGTGACTGCCTTCAGCTCAGGTCATGATCCCGGAGTCCCGGATTGAGTTCCGAGTTGGGCTCTCAGCTCCATGGAGAGTCTGCTTCTCCCTCAGACCTTCTCCCCTCTCATGCTCTCTCTCACTCTCTCTCTCTCAAATAAGTAAATAAAATCTTTAAAAAAAGTATAATCCTGACTTTCAATATCTGTAGAAACGTGATTAACTATGATAACCAAGATTTCTCCAACTCCACTTTAATTACTGGAAGAAATTTAAATTGTTATGTGAATAAATACAATCTATACAGATCTAGAAAGTAAGGAAAGTGGCAGCTTCGCTTACATCTGAAACCTTAATCATACACAATTTGTACTGATGCCGAAGTAACCAAGAAGGGAGAGTCGTGGTTAATTCCAGAACTTCGCCTCCCACGACACACATGGGGCCTCAAGTCAGGCTCTGCCATGGATTCATTCAGAAGAACCCCGCGGTGTTCCGGAAACATGGCTCACCTGAGCTTGCCATCTTCTCCAGTAGCCCCCGGCTCCTCGGAAAGTTGGGACTCCGCTCTCAGCACTAATGCCAGCGCCTGAAAGGATGACTATGTGCTTTGCTTTCACAAAAAGCTTCCGAAAATCAGCCATATCTAAAGAGAGAATAAAATCTTCCTAAGTCCCGTGTACCATGTGGACATTTATATCCTGTATCAGTTGTTCATATTTTGACATGACCTTCCATGAAATGATATTTTAGGATCTTCAAATAAAAATCATTCCTGTACCAGGGGCACCTGGGTGGTTCAGTTAGTCGAGTGTCCGACTCTTGATTTTGGCTCAGGTTATGATCTCAGGGTCGAGAGATCAAGACCTTCATCAGGCTCCACACTGAGCGTGGCATCTGCTTGAGATTCTCTCTCCCTCCCTCTTCTCACTCATGCTCTCTCTCTCTCTACAATAAATACATCTCTAAAAAAAATAATAAAAATAAAAAAAATAAAATAAAATAGATACAAATCTTTAAAAAAATCATTCCTGTACCATGAAGATGCCATCCCTGCGGCCTGATGGACTGTGTAGCATCTTAAAGAAGCAGGACACACGCCATTGGCTTTGACACTCAGCTCCACCTCCCGTCCATCCACCTGTGAGAAGTGATGGAAACAACTGGCCCTCTGCTTTTCTGGCTGTTTGATGTGCTCGATAGAGTTTTCCTGAGAACAGGCTGCTACAAAGATTTTTAAAAGCTAATGGATGGGAAAGCATCCTCTTCCTAACAGTAAAAACAAGCTACTATTGGGGGGCGGGGAGGGGCCAGTTAACCTCATGCCCACCGGACTCCGAAACCTTCCCTTCCTTCCCAAATCCTGTTCCCTTTGGGGATCTTGCTAATTTCCGCTTCCTTTGGCATCATTACAAGGTGAGAGTGAGAACCCCTCCCCTGTGAACAGATGCTCTGCTCCAAACCTGGACACGTAACCTTCTCCTTACAACTCAACTAAGAGTTGGACCCTTCAACAAGACGTCACCAGAGACTTGGGGTAACAGAAGAGAGTTGAACACAGAGAATACGGTGACGGCAGGTAACGATGGTCGCAGACCGTGGCTGGCTGCCTGGGATGGAGCGCCTAGTTCTGCATCTGCGGGCATTGTCCCACTTGCTCTCTGGCCATCAGGGGCAGCAACCACCATTTACTGAGGGCTCCCTGTGCCGCAGGCTCTGCGCCAAGCACTGTACATGGAGTATAATGTAGAATCTGCCCCTGCAACCAGTGTCCTCATCCCTGGTTCAGAATGAGGAGCTAGACTTGGAAATGCCATTGTTCCTCCCGGGTGACAGAGATTCGCGTAGGCCAAGGCTGAGCGACACCCTTCTTTCCCAGGCACTGTGGCTCTGCAGGCCCTCATTTGGGGGCTACGTAAGTGCTACGGCCCCAGCAGGCCAGGCCCAAGAGTACAGAGCTGAGTATAGCTGCCAGGAGAAGAGACTCCCTCTTCTGCCCTCCTCTGGGAGAAGCAAATGCCACAGTGGTGTTGCCCGTGGCCCTGACATAGACATCCTCTAACCTATGCTAACGCACTGCAGATTTTGGCAAAAATACGAGTGATTCTTCAGCTGATGCAGCAGGTTTTCTGGTTCCCCCCTAGCCCCCCGGAGGCAATGGCAACCAAGGAGAATCCCCAGAATAAATGAGCATCCCGAGAGATGGAACCCAGGACAGGCAGGATGGGAAACAGGAGAGACAGCGGGATGGGGGCGGAGGGACGATAAACTCAGATATAAACGGGAACGTGACTTCACCTTGTACCCTGAGCTGGTAAGACAGATCCTGTCGGTCTCCCAGGGGACCTCCTCCCTTCTGAGGCCTCATCCTCGTAAGCTCAGAGTCACTTCCATGACTGGCCCATGACTGTGAATCTTAATAAAGGCCCCACCCCTTCTCCCCTTCCCCTCTTGTCTGGCTGCTGGTAAGAAGGCACAGGGAGTAAAAGCAGACTCTGAGAGACAAAGAAGCAGAGGCTCCAACTCCCTCTCCCACCACATTCTTGAAGCTCCCTGGGATCAGGATTCCGGCAGTGTAAGTCCTAAAGGACTGAAGATGGGTGCAGGCACACTACACCCTTGTCCTTGGGCCATAACCGGCCCAACCATGCGCCAGCCATGGCAAAGCTCCGCCCATGCTTACATCCCCTTTGGAGATAGGCCAGTGTGACACTAAAGCTGTCCCACCAGGAAGAATTCGAAAAAAGAAACCCAGTCTGGGCAGATTGGAGTGTGCAGTCTGATCGAATCTCGTAAAAGAACAAGATTCTTAATAAGAAAAGGTACAAGTACTTGACCAGGGTCTATGTGTGTGACTCCCGGCTTCAAACCCTACAAATGTCCTCAAGGACTTTGAAATTCACCTATAAAGCTTTCCCTAGCCCTAACCACCTATTTTTTTTTTTTTAAATCTGAAATGTAAACTCCATCATCCTACTGAGGAATAGGTCCTAGGTCAGAGTGGCCTCTATTAAGATCTCATTCTAAGCAACTTTTAGAAACAAAAAGGTCAACTCAGGTTTGGTTCTTGGAAATGGGTTGTAAATATAAGAACGTTAATGTAGTAGAAAATCTTTAAGAAGAAGAGGGTGGGGAGAAGAAGAAGAAAAGAAAAAAAGGCATTTCCCAACTACTAAGGGAAAACACTCATACGTATTGCAGTTCCAAACCCAGACAGCCCGCTCTGGGTGGAAGTCAGGCACACACTTAGCCTCGAACAGCCTGCCCTGTTCTCCACAGCCAGCAATACCAAAGAATTCGGTTGTTTGTCGTCCCTGAGCTTGGGCAAAATGGAAGGAGGAGCTGCTACGTCTGAGCATGATTGCGGTATTAGAAAAAGTTATCCAGATTTTGAAAAACAGGCAAAAAGAGGTGAGCTTGGCCTTTCAATACCATCCTAAAGCAAGTCTCATAGGCCCACCGAAGACCCTTTATTATACAAATCTGTTAGGCTCTGAATTCACTATAGACTAATGGCCCTGGTAGAGATAGGAATCCTATAGGCACGGTAGAACATTAACTCAGTATTACCCGGGAGGACAAACTCCAGCTCTCCCCTCTTGCTGAGAGGGGAGGGCTTTAAAAGACAAATCTGGGGGCACCTGGGTTGCTCAGAGGGTTAAGCATCTGCCTGCGGCTCAGGTCATGGTCTCCAGGTCCTAGGATCAAGTCCCGTGTCGGGCTCCCTGCTCAGCCGGAAGCCTGCTTTTCCCTCTCCCTCTGCCGCTCCTCTGCCTGTGCTCTCTCTGTCTCTGTCTCTCAAATGAATAAATGAATTCAAATGAATAAATTTAAATGAATAAATAAAATTTTTAAGAAAATAAAAATAATAAAAAGACAAATCCCATGTGAGAAGCTTGAATGCAAATATTCTGGGAGAAGCAATAAAATGTTTCCAAAGGACTTCAACTTGACCACAGAGAGATGATCTCAGACCTATCCTGCAAGGGGTTTGCCTGAGAGGAGAACACCGGTGTGGCTTTCTCTAAAATCTTGCCCAGGACCCACTCCACTATACACATTCCCCCTCAAAGTGCAGGAACTCTCAGGTTCTTCACATTCTACCAGAGACAAGGGGTGGCAGGCTGAAGAAGACCTACTTGAACTTGGTCGAGCCATTGTTGGGCAAATCCGGGTTCCAGAGGAGGCTGGAGATTTCAGTCCACAGTATAGCCCGGAAAGTAATCGGCGGGGAAGGATCTGAAGAGGTTGCATCAGGTTTTCTTTGTGGCACTAATTCCTGAGTTGGGCTTTAGGAAAAAACCACAGAAACAAACAGAATCAGCTTGTAGTTGTACATATATATGTAAGGATGCCCTTTACAAAAATCATGAGTAACAGATAGGGATGGTATTCCTCTTCTAAACCAACGGTTTCCCAGGCGCCCTGGGGCAGTGGTTCCCAAACTCTGGTCCCCATACCACCAGCAGCCTTGGTTGGCAACCCTTGAGATCTTGTTAGAAATGCAAGGTCAGGGGCTCTACCCCAAACCCACTGAATCAGAAACTTTGCAGCTGGGGCCCACGTCTGTCCCCATTGATTCTGATGAATGCTCAAGTTTGGGAAACACTACCTTACAGGCTGGGGAAGGCATGAGATGCGAAAAATCACTTGAAAAAACGAGTTCTGCTACTTCTTAAAAGGTATGAAAAAGGTAAGAAAAAGGTATGTCTTCTCAATTTTTGGCCAAAATACAGTTTCTATGAGAATGTAAATTCTGAAAATGGAGCCAGGCAGAGAAGACATGTTTGTCCTATGACAACAAATAAGATCTAGAATACATCAAGTCAAAGGAACCTGTGACTTCAAACACATTTAGTAAATTTTGATCCATCCCTGAGGAATTTTATGAAAGAAAAACAGTCAATATTTGGATCAATGACACCAACAGGGTAATTGGTAGGGCTGACTTCTATTTGGTGGGTAAATTGTTGTAAGAACTCAGAATTAAAGGTCTGTAGATCTAGAAAACAGAAAAATAACACATTTACCAAAAATCTACACAATCATGTCTGTCAAAATCCACAGAACACCACACTAAAAAAAGGGTTAATTTTCCTGCATGTGAAGTATAAGTTCGTTTAAAAATAAAATGGGCAAAAAAAAAAAAAAAAAGTTTTTTTTAAATGGGCATAGGGTTTCAGTTCTGTGAGATGAGAGTTCTGGAGATTGGTTATGCAACAATGTGAATGGACTTAACACTACAGAACTGTCCCCCTAAAAATCGTAAATTTTTAGGTTATGTATATTTTACTACAATTAAAAAAAAAACAAATGAACAAAGTGATTCAGTGTGATTTGCTGGCTAATTCAGTATTTATAAGCAGACAGCTCACTGACTTCAGAAGTGACAGCAGGTATCCACAGGGTAGAGGATATTGAGAGAAGTTAAAATAAATGTCTGGAAGACAAGGCTGAAAAACCTCTTACAAAAAAAAATGAAAAAATGAAAAATAAATAAAACAAATAAAAATTTTTTTAAAAACCTATTAGTGACAAGTCAGGTTCACTCCACAAAGCATTCCACTGTGCAGATGTCACATGTTTAAAATAAAAAAAAAAATAATAATAAAGACCTTCTCTCTAACCTTTAATTTTTTCACTTTTTTTTTTTTTTTTTTTTTTAATGTAAGCTCTACGCCCAGCATAGGGCTTGAAAATACAACCCCAAGATCAAGAATTGCATGATCTACTGAGTGACCCAGCCAGGCACCCAAAGACATTCTCTAGAACCTTGACAGTCATTTCCAGAATAAATGTTGAGGGGGGAAAAGCCAGATGCAAACCGTGTTTTGTAAGAGAAAGGGAAGGAGGTAGAAGTATATACCATAGTACTTATCTGCATTTGCATTAAAAAGGGGGGAAATTCCCAATTAATTAGTAAAAAGGGTTGAAGGTGGGGTGGGAAATAAGATGTTAGAGACTTGAGAAGCAGCAGAGATTTTCAATACATGTGTTTGTACGTTGTTTACAGCGTCCACGTTCTCCAGCTAAAGATCACAAACACCCGTGGTCGAGCAAGTTGCAAGGACAGAGAACCGCAGTTTGAAGACGTGCAGGGTGTCAGAACAGTGACAGAAAGGATTTATTACAGGATCGGGGCTTGGGTTAGCGAGGTGAGGGAGATTTCCTGGCGGGCAGGCTTCCTTATGGACTACAAGCCATCAGGAGACAAGATACCTTGGTTATCCTAGCGTGTCTTACCTAAAAAGTACAATGAGTGAAACAGGGTTTGAGTTGGGCTTCTAGCCAAGAGAGGAGGATGTTTTGTCATTTTTTGTGGTTTAGAAAATGTTCTTGTTTTTGTCTGGGTTCAGACCTAATTACGGAGTTGTCTTGTTTTTACGCTGATTCACTGTGGTCATGGGGGAGCCTTGTCTGATGTCGGTGTTCTGTGAACACTATGTTCAACAGAACACCAGGGTCCACGGCATAGCGCCAGGACAGAAAATACGGAAGCAAACCACACGTTCATCGACTTATAAAGGGGTTAAAGAAAAAAAGAAAAACCCCACACAAAAGAACTGTGGTTCATCCATACGACAAAATACTATTCCACAATGAAAGAGCAAACTGCGAATACACACAAAAACATGGGTGAATTTTTAAAGTATCATGCAATAGTAACTTGAAAGAAGAAAAACCTAGCAGACCCTACCTTAACTGAGCGATCAAAATGAACATCACCAGTAATAAGACACACTGACTTCCTCTACTTCCTTAGAGGATACAGTGAGAAGGGCAAAACCTCACTTCTGTATTCTCCCCCAAAATGCATTAGTTCTACTAAGAATACATCAGAGAAACTCCAATTGAGGAAGCATTCTCCAGCAAAATTGGCCAGTACTCTTCAAAAAAAAGTTAACCAAGTTTATGAAAAATAAAGACTGAGCACTTGTCCCAGGTTGCAGACTAAAGAGATATGACAAGGAAATGCACTGTGGGATCTGGATTGGATACAAGACATGAAAAGGGACACTAGTGGGAGAAGTGGCAAAATTTGAATGAAACCTGCAAAATTAGGGAACAGTACCGAGTAGCAAATAATCTATGTCAATAGTCGGTGTCAATGTCCTGGTTTAGATCCTTGTTTTCTAGATTGGTAAAATGTTAATCTTAGGGGAAACTGGATGAATAGTATATGGGAACTCTGTGTACTCTTTTTGCAACATTTCTGTAAACCAAAAATTATTTTAAAGCAGTAAGAAATAAAGAAAAGCGTTATGCTAAACAAAAGAAGCCAGAACCAAAACCCCACACATATTTAAGACCATTTATATGATATTATGAAAGAGCAAAACTATAGGTACAAGAATCACATCCAGAAATCATATCCATGGTTTCCAGGGACTAGGAGAGGGGTGAGGCAGGGAGGGCCAGGGAACTTTTTCAGGCAGTGGAAAATTCTGTGTTGTTATTTTGTGGTGTTTTCAGAAACTCATGGAACTGTATAAAAAGAAGGGTGAAATTTCGTAACACCTAAGTTGTATTTCAGTAAACCTCACTTAAAAACAAGAAGCAAGCATGTTGACAAATTTTCATCAATATTTGTCTCTGCTGTAATCAAAAAGAGTAGATAAGAAGTTTGGAATTGGGAAAAAGAGAGTAGGTTAGAAAAAAAAAAGTTATAGTTCTGGTTTACAGAACAACCTTGTGGGACAAGACCCTCTGGCTGCCAGGAGGCTCTCTGCAGAGAATGAACACAGGTCAGAGCCAAAGGGAAGACCAAAAAAGGTCCCTAGCTGACTGGCTGCTGAGGGACCAGGTGAGCTGACTTGGGGGGCAGCCTGCAGACCACAAAGCGATTGTTGGACCATCACAAAGATCACCTCAGTGCCCTTTTGAAAGGATGCATGGGGAAAATGGCTTGGCATGATTTTCAACCAGCATGGGCATCACAGGCTTTTGACAAACTTCAATTTATCTGGAAAAACTAATTATTTGAAACACCTCGGTAAGGAACAAGAGAGGTATTATGACAGTTTTTTTTTTTTTAATTATGGGAAATTTTTAATATATACAAAAATAGACCGGCATAGTGAACTCTTAGGCTCCCATCACCTGGTTTCAGTAATTATCAAGAAAAGATGCATTTGAGGACCTCAGATCCATCTGAGGCTTTAAGATACTGTCATAGAGGATCACTGTTAAACCTGCACATCTAGATAAAAACTGGGAAAACTGAATACTGCCTAACTAGACCAAAACCTTCTTACATACTGCTTGAAGTTATTTATGCAATCATTTTTAGCTTAATATATGTCTTTAGCTATTTCTTTCACAGATGAAGATGTCTGATTCCATTGCTGCTTTCTAGTACTTAAATTTGGAGACATCACTTTGTTCCAGAAAATTCTTTCTTCTGTAGGTTTTCAAACGTTTGCAAACATTCCTACTTCCTGTCAAAGGTTTCTAGATAACTCCTGAATAAACTGCTGTATTTTTTTCAGACAGGAAGGCAGGATTTTAAGTCATTAAGAACTTTAAAGAATTTAAGGAATTAAAATCCCATCAACAGAGGCATCAACAAAAAGCAGCTAGAGATACTGCTCTTTGTCTAAATTTTTCTGCAAGAGGGTCTCAATGATGGGTCTTCTACTGAATTGCTATGAAATGAAGACAAATCTTCATTCTGTTTTGAGCACGAGTATTGAATTTGTTGCTAATTATGAACAGTTGTCAAAAATTTGAGAATACTGGAGTACCGAGCTGGCTCAGTCAGTAGAGTAGGCAACTATGGATCTTGGGGTTGAGAGCTTGAGCCCCACGTTGGGTATAGAAATTACTTAATAAAATCGCTAGAAAATTAAAAAAAAAAAACTTGAGAATATTAGGGAATTTTTAATTGTATGATTGACCAGATTAGGATATATTATCTGGATAAAATGTTACTAATTTTCCACCTAAGTTTTTCTATTCAAATGTTTTCATTATTGAGTAATAAAATTACTTCCACCCTGACACTGAACTCAAAATAATAAAGCAGGAAAAAGTTTTACTTGCTCATGTTTCAACATTTCCAAAAATCACTAGTTTCTAGATTTTCTGCCTAGGAAATGCAATTGCCAACTACTTCTTGGGAAAACAGCTTTAGTTCTCATCTTATGTGAATTATGTCTAATGACACACATGTATTATATAGATGCATGTATCCATACACTCATGGACTATATAACAATTAAAATGCTTTCTAAACATTCATTATTTGTATTTCAAATCTTTTATCATACTAACTTATTATTTGTAGACTCTAAGTTTTTTGCGTCTATCAGAATCAGAAAATTTCTGGTCTCACAAAACCATTCTATTTCCTGTTTTATTAGTGAACATTTCACATTTTTTTTTAAAGGATGTGGGAAATGTTTTGCTAAATGTCCCATTAATTTAAAAGATGTTCTGCAAGTCCTTCATCGAATGTGCAAAGTAGAGATTAAATACTTCCAAAAATGTTTGGGGCACTTGGGTGGCTCAGTTGGTTAAGGGTCTGCCTTTGGCTCAGGTCATGATCTCAGCGTCCTGGGATGGACCCCCACGTAGGGCTCCCTGCTCAGCGGGGAGTCTGGTTCTCCCTCTCCCATTGTGGTACTAAACAAATAAAATATTTAAAAAATAATAAATAAATAAATAAATAAAATAAAAATAAATAAATAAAATAAATTTTTTAAAAAACGTTAAAATAAATAAATAAAACGTTTACATGTTTTTGAACAGTGCCACCTAAAATGCACTCTCAAGATTAGAAATGCTCAGAACATAAGACTATTTTCAAGATGTTCTCACAAAGTATTTACTGGAAGCATCTTCTGTGCCAACATTTGCTTTTCTAAGGGGGTCAGGGTGACCAGTGGTTCTACCTTCCACAAGCTTACAACCCTGTTCAAGTGGAAAAGCAAATTCCTCTGGCAGTACATTCACCACTCTGGGTGAATGACAGTCCCCGGTTAACCAGACTTTTGAAATCACCTACTGAATTAGAAAAAAAAAGGAAAATGTCTGTATGCTCCCTGTGGCACCCTACCAATTCTGAAAAACACAGTAAATGAAATGAAAGGTTGTATCAGGAATTTGAGATTAAAAAAAAAAAAAACTTCAGGAAAAACAGTGATTTAAAACAGGAAGTGCAAAAACTTACACAAATAAATACTTTTTGAACTCCCTCTGAGCTAAGTTAGTGCTCTGTACCCGTCCCTGGCTACGAACGCTCGCACACTCCGCTCTGCCCTCTACCAACTGCTCTCGTCAAGGTTACCAGAGACCAAGGTCCACCCTGCCAAACCCAGTGGCCGTCTGGATCCTCCTCCTCGGCCATGTCCAGCCTCTGACCCCTTTGATCATCTCTCCAGCAAACATTTCCTTCTTCTGGTTTCCCAAAACCACGCCTTCCAGGTTTTCCTCTTCCTTCCCTGGGTCTCCCATCCTCCCAGGCTCCAGACTGCATCCCCCGTCCAATGCCCAACAAACGGCTCCCACCTCACTCCGCCACGCCTGGGCTCCGAACTCTCCCCACACCTTCTCCCCGCAAAGCCTTAGGCGTCTTCTCCTTGAACCTGCCCTCTCCCTCTCACGGCTCACACTCTGGCCAGACTCGTCGGCAAGTCCTTTCAACTCGGTCCCTGTTCCGACCCCTCCTCCCAAGCCCGCAGCCAGCAGCCCGGCCGCCATCATCAAAGCCCGCGGGCTGCTGCCAGTACCCACACTGGCTCCACTCAGACGGGACGCTCGGCTCGGCTCCCCCTTCACAGCGGCCTACCAGGCCCACCTGCTCCGGCCGCGTGACTTTGAACCTCGCTTCCTGCCCCCTCCCTCTTCTCTCGGGCGGCAGCTGCCCGCAGGCTATGCTCGGAGAACACCCGGGCTCGGGGCTCCGCACGTGCCGCTGCCCAGCCCGGGGAGACTCGACTGGGGGCGCAGGTAATTCCCGCAGAAGCGGGGTCCGCTCCCCTCCCTCTCGCTCTCCCACCCGTCAAGGACCCCGGAAGGGGGGAGCGCGCATGCGCCGGCCGGCCCCGCCTCCGCCCCGCCCCGCCCCCTCCCGCGGAGGTCCGGGGGCTTACGTCTCCCGCGCACCGGCTGGAGCGGTGGAAGGCAGCGGAGCCCCGGGTGCTCGCGGAGACTCACCTGCAGGAGGCGGGACTGCGGCGGCACTGGCGCCAGGGCGGGCCGTGAGGGCGGAGGGGAGGAGCGGGGACGCGGTGGGCCGGCACACCTGCCCCGCTGCAGCGGCCCCTGCCGGAGACTCAGCCCCGCGGGGCTCGCGAGCCCCCTTTCTGTGCCCCAGCGACGGTCTCTTTGAGGGACCGCGGAGGGACAGCGGAGCTGGGCAGGGGGCGGTGTCTTGCTGCATCTTTGTGAGCATCCCCTATATGTAGTGAACGATTACCTGCCCCGCAGCTGGATTGCATACCCTCAGGACACAGCGTTTCAAATGTTGGGGCAGCTCTCCCTAAAACGCTGTTTCTAGGGATGGTTCGTTGGGTTCCCAGGCACCACCACTGCGATCGTTACCTGCGTGTCCGAAGGGTACAGTTTGAGGGTCTCTAGGATTCGGTGACCCATGTGGCTCCACGTGTCTGAATCCCCTTAAAATCGCTCATCTTTCTCAGTTTTGATTCAGGCTTGCCACCTGCCCTTCTTTTCCTGCAGTGGAATTGCTCATGGGTGTGCCCATGGATCTGAACGGGAGAAACTCTGAGAACTTGGGAGCAAAAAATGTTTTCTTGACATTTGTTTTCCCCGTCTCAAACCTTCCTAGTCTGGCCGGAAATTCAGCCCGTTTTGGGAACCCCTCTTGTTCCTGTAGGCTGTACCAGCCCCTCAGGGGGTTAGGGAGTCCAAGGATATTGGGGGAGGCCCTCACATCTGGCCGTCTTTCCCTTCACGTGTATACAGCATGGACATTGTGGCAGACACTTGTAAGAACTTAAAGTGCATCAGCCAATTTAAATCTTCCCCACCATTTGATAAAAGAGATACAGTAATCCCCACTTTACAGGCAGGAAAACAGAAGCCCAGGGAGGTCAAGTAACTGTCCAGGGCAGAAAAGCTGTTGACAGAGCTAGGATTTGCACCTAAGTGCTTGGGCTCCAGATGCAAAGATCCAGGCTCCCACATCTCCTGCCTGTCATTAAGGTGTTGGTGCATTGTTTTTTGTGCATGTGAGATTAGTCATTAGGTGTTCATCTTTCCCTTGATTCAGACACTGGGAGTGCGGGGAGTTGGGGAGGCCCAGTGCCCCTCACTACAACCTTCCCAGGTCTGAAGGCCTCGCATGTAGCCCTTTGCCACCACCCACAAGTTCAGCCACCTCTGACACATGGCATTCCATCAGGGTCCCAGAGCCTACACTACCTACAACTCGCCACCACACCATCCCACCCCTCCACCCCATCCCTTCTTCCAGGCTTGGAAGAGCTGACTTCCTCTCGAAGCATCAGGCACCCTCTCCATCTTTTACGCAACTCCAGCTTAATTTCTTGCTGACCTGGTTCTTCCGAAACAAAGACTGTGCCCTCTTCCTGGAATGCTCTTTCCCCATTCCCTCGAGAGCAACTCTTCTCATCCTTCTGCTCCCAGGTCATTTGTCCCTTCCTCAAGGAAGCCTTCTCTGATCCCAGCTGTGTCTAACCCCCCCATCATGTGAGACCCCTTGTTCTTGGTACACGTTCTGACAGCACCACGGCCGCTATCCCAGGGAAGATTCCAAATGTATTTTTGCTTATTTGATTACATTTTTGCTCTCCCGCCAGGTTGTAAGCTTCCCTGAAGATGACCTTTTCATCTCTGTTTGCTCACCAGGGAATTTCCAGTCCCTCACAGTGCCCGACAGTGGATGTCCAGTTTATTAGTTCATTCAACATATATTACACGAATAAATGAGCAATCTCTCAGGAAACCAGCCTAGAATTCAGAGAACAATGGCTTGGCTATCTTTACCAAAATGAAGAAGCAAATTACTTTTTCTTTCATGTTGCTTCTGAGTCCCTGGCAACACAGAGCAAACCAAAAATAAACAAGCAAGAACAGTTTATCCATAACTCACCCTATGGTGAGAAACTCTCCCCCGACCCTGACTTTTCTATCCTTTCAGAGTTACTCACTTCGCTGGTTATCACACTGCCCGTCGAGGCTGGACTGTCCTCTGTAAGCCTCTGCTACAAACGCAGATGGGGATGTAAATATCCAACCTCATGTCCTTTATCGACTGACTGATGTTGACATACTTGGGAGAAGGCCAAAGCTTTCCAAAGGCTTTACCCAATACGAAGGGAGAACAGCAAGAAAATAGACATCAAGGCTACAAAACTAGAAGAGATACACGCACACACAGTCGAGAAATCCCAGCCCCCCTAGATTTTCCATCTCCCAGCTTCCACCTGTTTCCACAATAACCCGCCAAGGTGACATTCAGCCCCACGCCCCCACTCCACCAGCCCCATGCATCCTGGGCCCTTCATGGAGAAAGACAAGAGACCAAGGCCCTCTCTGCCCAGGTTCTTCGGGATTCTGTATGAGGCTGGAGGTCTGGTTAGCCCCAATAATGACCCTCCCCTAAGAGGGTCCCAGCACACACAGCATCCAAGGGCTGTGGCTCTCACCGCTGTCAGCTGGTCAGCCCATCTGCCCAGAATATGCCGCATAGATACAGCAACAGTGCACGCAACTCCTGCTTAAGAGATAAAATTAACACAAATAACGGAGCTGTGAGCTGTGGAAGACAGGAAATGGGGGGTCGAGGAGGAGTTTGCATGCTCTGCAGTGAGGGTAGCGGGGTTACGGGGAAAGGCTGCATCAGACAGCTATCTGGAGTAGTGAGGACGCAACTTTTGACAGTTGGATGGTAGGGTGTAAGGGAGTCGGTGCCCTTATTCCTCATGTTTGTGATTATTAATAAAGGGAAACCTCACTAAAGTAGAGTCCAGAGGATAGAAGGGAGAGACTTAGGACTCACCGTCAACTACAGGGTCAATTTTAGGCCCCCACAGAAGGTTGGCCAATAGGAAAGGATCATCACTTCCCGGCCCAACAGGGAAAAGATGTACATTGCATCTTCTACAAGAAATCCACCACCCCTGCAATCCAGCCAATGAGAAACCTTCATTACCCTAAACTCTCTTGCCTTTGTCCTATGGACTTTCATTCAGAATAATCTTTCCCAGCTTCCTCTTTCTTCTCCATGACACAACATTTTTTTCCCTCTCTTTTGTTGGACTTGCCTGTGGTTTGGCGGCAGCTGACGTGTCCTGAATTGCAATTCTCTGCTTCTATTCCTGAATAAACCCATTTTTGCTGGTAAAATAACTGTTTTGTTTTTAAGGTTAACACATCCAAGAGCCCTGTTCTTTCTTTTCATGTTCAAAGCCTGCATTTTTTTAAATTATTTTTATTAACATATAGTGTATTATTTGCCCCAGGGGTACAGATCTGTGAATCAGGAGGCTTACACACTTCACAGCACTCACCATAGCCCATGCCCTCCCCAATGTCCATCACCCAGCCACCCTATCCCTCCACCCACAACCCCCAGCAACCCTCAGTTTGTTTTGTGAGATTAAGAGTCTCTTATGGTTTGTCTACCTCCTGATCCCATCTTGTTTCATTTTTTCCTTTCCTACCCCCCACAACCCCGCCCCCGCCCTGCCTCTCAAATTCCTCATATCAGAGAGATCATATGATAATTGTCTTTCTCTGATTGACTTATTTCGCTAAGCGTAATACCCTCTAGTTCCATCCACGTCGTCGCAAATCAAAGCTCGCTAAGCGTAATACCCTCTAGTTCCATCCACGTCGTCGCAAATCAAAGCCTGCATTTTTCTGTTTGTGTTTTGTTTTGTGGAGGCAACACCTTTTAACTTCTTAAAGCCATTGGAAGAATGGCAGTGTGTCTCAATGGCCCCACTGAGATCAGGTATCCCAGCTCTCCACACTTACTAGTGCTTACTATTGAACAGAGGACTGTTCCCACTTGTTGAGAAGGGGGAAGAGGGGGAAGGTGGGGAAGGTCCAGGTTCAAGGGCTTCTTTCCCCTTCACCCTGCTCCTTGGTCTCCAGATACTTCAAGGATAAGGATCTAAGTCCCAGCAGTGTCCAGATGTCCATTCATCCTTTGGTGGGAGACCTGTAGAGTTTGGGGGGGTTCTTTTAGCCATAGTTCCCCTGATGTAATCAAGCCCCCCTCAGTTTCTGCTTGAACCTCTGCTGGCTGAGGCCATCGCTCCCTTGGCAGAAAGTCCACGAAACAGGAGCGTTTCGAAGAAAACCACCAGCCAACCCCCCTTCCATGGGGCCATATCCAGCCCATGAAAAACGTGTAAGTCCTTTGCCTACCAAACCCTAGAAATGAAGGCATTCTTACACAACCCTCTTTGTTGTGTCACCTCAAGCCTGTCTACCCTCATCTCCTCACCTTCGGGCTTTCTCAGGTATGCACCGAATATCGGTCCCAGAGTCTGTCCAGCAACAGGGCACACAGGTCAATCTCTGGGTGTGTATTGAAGCCCCCTCCTCGGTTGGCTGGAGGTGAGGACCGACTCCACTGTGCTGCCCCATGATGGTACCGGAAAGACATCTATATTTTAACAACTATACCCAAAAGAGGTCTTTCCTTCAGTCCGCCTGCGGGCAGGTAAGCGTCTGATGATGGGTAACGGTAACAATGGCTGACATTACCTGAGCTTTCCTAAGTGCCAGCCTCTGTTCAGAACACTTTGCATGGATCTTTGAATCTTCACGAAGACACTCTGAGAGGCTGCTTTGATGACCTACCTTTTATAGGGAAGGAACCCAAAGCGGGAAAGGTCAGCTGATCCACCCGTGGTCACGAGCTAGTAAGGGCAGAGTCAAGATTTGGACCTGGGCATTCTAGCACCTTGCCCAGGCTGTTGTTGACCCCGATGCCCCTGCACACATGTGTGATCTAATACTTCTCTTTAAAAGGCGGGGGTGTTTGTTAGCTACTTTGTCCCTGACGTTCTGAATCTCA